CCCATGAAATGTGAACACAAGTCAATCTTGGTTCAAATCATAATGGCTGTGTTTCACTTGTGCTTATTCATAATGGAATTCAGTATTTATGCTTTTGGGGGAATTAGTCATTTGCTCTATGCAGTTTATGGTATGTCAGGAAGCAAGGGTGTGCACATACAGATTAAAGCAAATAATCTGCATCACACAGATTACTCCTTGCTTGATGTTTGAATATCAGTTGCTTCTTAATTTGTGTTGTAATATTTGTTTCAAAAATATGAAAATTGAATTAATACCTCACTACAACATTCTGTCATTTTTTCTGATAAATGGAGAGAAATCTTTGCACAAATTTTAGTTTGCACAATAATTTGTACTGCAACATCTTTGTCTTTTTGGGTTGTTGTTGAACAGTTGTGCATATGGTAGCAGAAGAATATCACTAAAACAAGTCTTAATTGAGAAGACATTTCAATAAAATACCTTAGTTTTCATTTCTTTACCTCACTCCCACTTTCTCTTTTGGAAAAGCACCAGCTACTGCTGTACTGCAGGGTAGCATATATGTAAATATAGAACCACTGAAGTGCTATTTTCTTTACTTCTCTCCTGTTTTTGTTATAGCTGTTCCTTTCATTCAGATTTTTTTTTTAGGAAGAAGGTAGAGAAAAAGATGGAGTTGTTGAATTGTTTCATATAATGACTGCTGTACTCCCTGCCCTATTTCTGGTCCCATTTAAGGTCAGGGGGGAGGGTTCCAGCTGTCACAATCTTAGGGATGCCATGTTCTGGACTTTGAGAAATTTAAATGCTTGTTGGAGGTTTGCAGGGAGGCAAGGCAGGGATTGCAGATAACCAAAAGCAGTTCTTCATTTGCAGATTCATAATTCGCATGTTATTTTATCATATATTGCTTCTGTCTAATTCTTGAGGATTCTTGGTTTACAGTATAACTTAGTCTTTTTTTTTTCTAGCACTTGCCTTTTTTTTTTTTTTTTTTTAATAGTCCTGCCAGACTCTCTCTTAGCTCCCCATTTGAACACATGAAATCATGGATGCTGTGTATAAGATAGTATTCTCACGTGGCCATCATGTGAGTAAAAATGCTGCAAACTTATTAACCAAACTTGTAATTGGTTAGACTCATTTTGAATTATTTAAGAGACTATACTGCAGCATCAAAATTCAGTTCCAACTTAATCTACTTTCCACTGAGTTTCTACTGCTAAACAGAAATGCCAAGTTTTCAAAATCACTGTAGATTGAGGGAAGTCTGGAAAAACTTAATTGCTGCTGCTAACTGGCTTTGGTGTCTCTTTTTTACCATGCTATGGGCTCATTTGTGTTTTTTTTTAAAGTGTATTTTCATTTCTTCATACCTAATATTATTTTGCAGGGAGTTATTTCTTCAGAAATACTAAATTGTAGCTCAGAATATGTGAAGTTCTTGACTAGTTCATGCCTTATGGTCTGTACAATCTGTAGACACTAGGTTTTAAATGTTCTTTGGTAAGATAAAGTGAAACAAAAAGCACTTGAGAATTCTCACGTTTGTGGTTAAACCCTTTCCAAAACAGAGTTGAAAGAAGCTTTTTCTTTGCTGCTCTTCTGCCAGAAAGTATGGCTCATTACTTGGGAAGCCTATTTCTTTGTTAAAATGGGTAATATTAAAACAGACTTTGCCAGCGCAGCTGTACGAAGGAGGGATAAAGCAGTGTGCTGAAGGATGTTAGTATATCGTGACATAAGTGGTGGGATTCAGTTCCATCCTCCAGGGTCCCTTAACAAAAATGCTTACACCTTTATGAACCAATGTTGTAATAATTCTTTAAAATAAATAGGTGCTGAAACATCTAGTCAGTGTGGAAGCTAAGTATTTTTCTTCTGAGTTACTCTTACTTGTTTCTCATAATCTCTGAAATAATTTGCATTCTTCTCTTTCTTATATGATAACATACAACTGTACTGTGAAACCTTATGGCAAGTTGTGTGTGTCACACAATTTCAGTGATTAAAAATACTATGATTGGCTGCACTTACCAGGAGTTTTTCAGGATACATCATTTTTATTTGTGTTGGGACAGTACGTTTGTTTGGAAATTGCTTGTCTCCTGTTACGTCTTACAACAATGTTGGCCCAGGAAAGATCCCACTGGGAATGTTGCAATTTTGGACACCACATTGTTGCATAGTTTTAGCACTGTTACTCTGCTTTAAATCTATTGCAGCTATACAACTTAGAGGAGGGGAGTGTTGGAGTTTGCAGTTGTTTTCACTAAAACGTTAATGAGAATTAAATTATGGAAGCAAAGCAGAAGAAATACTAGGACTGTCTAGTGTATTATGGGAGATGGCTTCTGCAAATAAGTGTCCATTGCATGAATTCCCTTGAAAGAGTATGCTGTGTCCCTGCAGGATGTACACAGTTACTTTACTGATTCCTTTACTATCTACAGATTCTTAAGCAGATTCTGATCAGTTTGATTCATTTGCTGTTTCCACTTAGGCTGGACTTTGGCGAGTGCTTTAAATCAGCAAAAGTAAACCCTGCCACCAGAACAAGGGACTCTTCTGCCTGCACCATCGTTTTTCCCTGGTGCTGGCATAGGATGTTTAGGGAGGGCTCTGTGGTGAGGTGATCAGAAAAATCATTGTATTTAATTCCAATCACAGTTTCGCACAAACTCTGACAGTACAAAGGGCCTGGGATGTGCAACAGAGGTAAGAAACCGTGGGTTTGGCAGTAGCAGAAAGCAGGATCCATCACAGTGGTCTGTCTTGCTTTTGATGCATTTATCTGATGTTTTATCTGAATTATCATATGATAAGGCTAGAATGTTTATAGAAACTGTCTAGCAATCTGTGAGTGCAGGTTTTTCTTCACTCTTAGAAGAAAAGAAAAAAAGGGGATAAAAAGATTATCTCACAAAAAAATAGAAAAAGGGGGGCAAAGACCACAAGCTGGTTTTTGTCATAAGGCAATTAAACAATTCTAGATATGCAGTGCAAACTTAATGCTGACAACTTCTGTTATTTTTTAGTTTTGGCTCCCACTGTTAGACCTGGTTGGAAACATTAATTTGGAAGCGTTGGTTTTTCAAAATCAAGTTCAGACAAGTTTAAGCTGAGGTCATGTTTGAGCATGATACAAGCTGGAAAGAAGCACTTAGTGTGATTCTTTTTTAATTTTTTTAAATATTCGAGCAGACAAGGGGTTTCGTTATGTTCCCTGTTACCTTTTAGTATTGGTAGATTAGAAGTTTACATGATTTCCATGTTTTCTTATCTGTGTACACCATTCAACATCTGCTGAACTTTATATCCATCATAACCTTTGCTGTAGTTAGCATCAGTTGTACCTGTAGATTGGGTAATGCAGGCCATTCCCTCTTGTACATCAAAGTACATCTAGAGGTTTTTCTCTAAAAAAAATTTTTTTTAGTGATTCTTTCTACTGAGATTTTTAATTACTGGTTATTTATCCGTAGTAGTTCATGGCTTGCTCTAAGCATTGAGGTAGACCTAGAGTCAGTTCTAGCTGCACTTGAAGTGACCTCTTTTCCTTGGGCAACCTAGAGCAGCACACACTGGAGCAGAGGTAGGCAGGATATCTCTGAAGAGAGCTTCTTTACTCTGGAAAAGCTCCTAAAAAAAAAAGACAACACAAGACCTATCTATTTGACAGTCTTAAAAAAGTAATCTGCATTGGATGGTGCCTTCGTGGAATAAAGATACAGAAATTACTCTGTCAGTTTATTGTATATGTTTTGGAATGGGAGCTTTTTATCCTCTTATGCTGATGAGGAGAAATTGAAATTCAAAACAAAGGAAAAATAACAATTAAATTGGAATTATTTTTTTTTTAATTATTCATGACACTGATTCAGGTTAGATGGGTTTATACAATGAACGTCTGCCCTTCGTTAAAAATGTAAAGGTGAAGTATTGGTTTATTAAACAGGCGGTATCTCTATAAACACTCCCTGCTGACACAGGGCACTCTTGATTGTGAGCATAACTCCTCTCATGAGCGTGTTAGAGAGCAGGAGATGTTAGTGTGTGTGAGAACTGTCCTTTGGAATTTATAAGCAAGAGCTTTCCTTGACCTTTAAAGAAAAAAGAACCTTTTGCAACTGCATTATTTATCACAGTGCAGCTTTTTCTCTTGAAGGAGAGTCATACTGATGGGAATTTTATACATATAGACTGGTAATTGGAACTGGCTAAGAAAAAATACTGATTCTTCAAATGCAAACATTTGGTAGAAGTTTTGGTTAAACTTTCGTCTCTTGCCAAGCAAAAAATTTATGATTACAAAGAAACACTAAACCTTACTGCTGGCAGCAAGCAGAGCATTTCTCTGCAGCTGGGAAGACCCTTTATTGAAAATCCTTCCATTGCTGGGTTGAGATTACAGGTTTGAACTGGTATGTCTGTCTCAGAATGAGGGAATGCTTTGGCTAGAGTATAGAAGGCCTGTCTAAGGTGTGTGCATCATGTTTCCCCTGTTAGAACTGTTACCTATAAATATGTGTGTATCTATTGAAAGTATATATTTTAGACCAGAAATTTGAGGCTGACGTTTCCATGTGTCAGAGAATACCTCTAGGAGTGAGCTGTGAGAAAAGTACTTTGTGAGTCTTTTCATTACAGCACTGCTCACCCAATACCAACTCCATAATCTAAAGATGGTCCTGGAACAGATATTTGAAGCTTTCAGCATCTTAAGCTAGCTTCCTTTAGGCATAAGGCAGTTCAGGATATGAAAGTGTGACTATGAAAGAAGTGTTGCACCTGTCTCTCTTTTTCTCATTGTGGCTGTAAAATTTTAAAAGATGTTGATTTACTTCATGTGTGAAGTGAGTCACTTCATAATCTTGAAAGTTTTGCAGGCAGGACAGCGAAACTGATTGCTGTCCAACTGTTCCTGCTGTGTGACTGCAAATATACAGACAATACTTGTCCTCATGAAGTTTTAAGATAGCTTTACTGAATGTTTCTTTTTTCCCTCCCTTCAGATTTGTCACGGAACAGACTGTCAGAGCTTCCAGCAGAAGCATGTCACTTTGTCTCCCTTGAGAGTCTTAATTTGTACCAGAACTGCATTCGATATATCCCAGAGGCTGTTTTGAACTTACAGTCTTTAACTTTTCTAAATATCAGGTAATGATTGTCTTAGAAATAAATTTTTTTGATTTAGCATCAGTAGTCTAGGTTTATAAATGTTGATGCATCCATAAGTAATGCTAAAATTGTGTGTAATCATCATGTTACGTTGTTATATTGTATGTCACCGAATCAAAGCAACCTGAACCAGTCTTACCCACTTAGGTGGATCAGGGAACATGAGAATTAAGCAGCAGCTTGTAGAAGTAGAGTATGAAGAAGAGAGCTAATTCCAACTGAAAGGACTCACAAAATAAATCCCAGTAAGTTTTCATGTGAAATACAGGCATGCAGACTGAAAAGAGATGATAGAGCTTTTGGATAGTCTTTACAATTGAGCTCTCAGCAGCTGAATAAGATTTATGCAGTTTATCTTCACTGTACTGGTGGCTTTTAAAGATCTTTCAAGTGTTAACACTTCTCTGCCAGCATTTAAAGCTAATTGCTACAACTTAGCCTGTTGACGAAACTAAACTGTACAGCATCCTTCATTTGTAGAAGGTCTTTTAAGAGGTGTGGAAAGTCCCTTGTTACAAATTGGCAGTGGTATCAATCCAGAAAAACTTCAGGCTGTTTCCTTCTGGTGTTATACTTTTGCCAATGTAGTATGCTTATATTTCTTTATTTTCTATTTTTTACGGATGGTGAGAATTGTAGGAATAGGATATGAATCAGGTAAGGGTTTCCTATTGCTATGATCTCTAGTAGTTGCAGTGCAGTTATTATCCTTTTTAAAGCTGCTGTTTGTTCACCTACTGCTCAGAACATTTTTTTTTTGCTTTAATAGCAGAGAAATCTGGGTTTCAAGCATGAAAAACACAGCAGCATATTTTGCTAAATGTCAACATCTGATCAAAGCCTGATTTAAGATCCTAATAACTTTCTAATCCTCCAGTCACTGCTCCTTGCTATGTTTTGGATTTTAAAGGGAATCTTTCTCTTTTACAATCCATTCTCATCCTACCTGATTCTCAGCTGAGGTTACAGTCTGGTCATATGACCTCAAATTTGCTTTATCTGGAGTTTATTATAAAATGTCCAAGACTGGATTTTGGAATAGTGAAATCCAGCATATGATCCTTGATCCACATGACTTACTCAATTGGAAATATACTTTAAATATTCAGTAAGTAAAGACTTTCTCTGTAGCATTTGGTAGGTGCTGATCTGCAGTACTGTCTATCAGAAATACTTTTGCACTCTGTTGAAATATACACATTTGTGACAGAGGGGGGGCAGTTATCAGAAGCACCTGAAAGGACACAAAAATACATTCCCCAGCGCTAAATTTAAAAGTATCTGATCAGGCTTGGTACTTGATATTCAGAGTTTGTTCACACATAACTACATAAAGCCAGTAATGAAGAACAACTTCATGGAACCACTTTTATAGTAATTAGAAAAAAAATCAGTTGATCATCTAAACAGATGTTAGAAGGATTCATATATCTATATAAAAGTATATTCATATATATGAGTGTGCTTTTTGCATGTCTTTCATTGCATTAAAATGTGAGATGTTTTCTCATTAGAGTTCTGATGATTTTGTTTTCTTTCTGTCCAAAAAGTCGAAACCAGCTTTCAACATTGCCAGTACACCTCTGTAGTCTACCACTAAAAGTTTTGATAGCGGGTAATAATAAGCTGGTTTCAATACCTGAAGAAATTGGACAGCTCAGACAGCTGACAGAGCTTGTGAGTATACGTTACTTTTTAACTATTACTATTCAGTCTTTAATTTTTAATTGATATGTTTAATAGGTTTGGAGGTACTTCAGAAGAAACAACACTTTTTAAAAATAATTAGGATGCTATTTGGACATATGCAAGATCAACATCCTGTTTCTCATTCTGCTGAGAATTTTGCAGTTGTAAACCAGGCAATTGTAGGCAGTGGCAAGTTATTTAAATCTGCTCTTAGCCTAAGGAAGATTTCTATCTGCCATAGTATCTTCAGCTATGTTTAGACTTTGTATAGAGGTGTTAGAAAAAGGATTTTTAAAATAAATTTACTTGAGGGAAAGATGCAAATTATCCATGTCAATTTAATTAAGAGTCTTCTCTGTTTTTGAAAGGAAGGCTGGATGGAATTAGAACTCTTGATGCATTTGTTTCTGGCAAAAAAGCTTTTATGTAGCAAGTTGTGTTGTCTCAAATAATATGGAGTAATTTGAATGAGATAACTTCAAATAAACTTCTGCATATAAATGCTTAATCTTTTAAAGCTTTTATTCCCCATGTAGCTAAAATGAGAATAATTCATGTCAGCAATGATATTTAATGAATGTAAGGATCCAAGGTGTTACATAAATAGTTGTCTTTTTCTTTCAATCCTTAAATAAAGCTCTACATATTTTGCCTACAGAGGCTTATCAGTCAGTGGTAACTCATTCTGTGTTGTACTTTTGCTTTGTAGGATGTGAGCTGTAATGAAATACAGACAATACCTCCACAGATCGGCAATTTAGAATCCTTGAGGGACCTAAATGTCAGAAGAAATAATTTGGTGCGTTTACCTGAAGGTGAGATAAAAGCTGTCAGTTATAACAGCAGAAACTTCCAGTACTACTTTATTTTCAATGCCTTTCTCTTTCCCCGAGAGCTAGAAGCAGCATCCTTAATTATTTTGTAAAACACATATTTTTATACTGTTGCTTTTTTTATACACTTTTAATCAGCTGAATTGTATGTTTATTTTCTATCTCCAGAACTTGCTGAGTTGCCTTTGATTCGATTAGATTTCTCCTGCAATAAAATAACAACAATACCAGTTTGTTATAGGAACCTCAGACATCTGCAGACCATCATGTTAGAGAACAACCCTCTCCAGTCACCCCCTGCACAGGTAAACTCCTAGGAATTCAGATGACTGGTTCAACTAAAAAGGGCAGAACGAAGTTAAAAGCTGAAGGTTTATGTTACAAACTTAATTTAAGAACAAGAGGACTTTAACACTTTTAGACAACACAATTTATTTAAATATACAGCACAACTTGAAAAATCCCTTTTTCTTCTCTTTACTGTATTAGGAGTCTCACCTATGGGGTATTACTAAGAATTCCACTGTTAGCATTGTACTAATGTTAGCTGAACATTTCTACTTTTAGTGTAGGAGAGAGGAAGCTCTTTTAGACAAAACTGATTTTTTGCCACCAAGATGTCAAAATTTTGAGAGGCCTCAGTACTGCTGTGTGCTGATTCACTTTGCGGCAGTGCTCAAACTGGCCTTTGAGCTAGAAGCTGCAATATGGATAGTGACTAATTTGATTTTTATTGTGGGTATATAAGCCCATGAGTATTACAGGTTCCACTGTGACCTGCTGCTTCTGAGTCAAGAGTGGCACTTGCGAAGACCTGTAGTTTCAGTAGGGTTTTGCCTCCCTTTTGAAAGCAGACAGCTGTTACTGGCTTCATTCACTTTAAATTTGAGCTTGCTTTGGCAGTCTGCCACTGCCATTCAGAGCTGGGCATGGGTGGGATGCATCTGTTCTGATGCCAGGGGTATAAATTCTAGTACTTGTAAATGCTTATGTCTTGTTTGTGTGATGAAATTTCAGCATCCAGCTGACAAAGTTTCATGCAGACCAGATGTGCTTGGAGGACAGCTTACATTGGCGTCCTGTGATGTTCCACTATAGCTTTCTCTAAAATGCAGTGAGATTAGAAGAAAAGGTGCATTGGTTTACATAAATGTGCTAATTTATTACTCTCAGCTACAAGTTAAATGTCTGTAGGGTACTTGGAAAATGTATTGTCAAAATATACTTATGTAATTTTTTTTTTTTAAGATATGTATAAAAGGAAAAATTCACATATTTAAATACCTGAACATAGAAGCATGCAAGATAGCTCCAGACTTGCCTGACTATGATAGGAGACCCATGGGATTTGGATCTTGGTAAGTTTGGCACAGTCCTCGTTTTGATGATGTTCAGGAAACTTTTGTCTTAAAACTTTAAAAAAATTTTTTTAAAACTTTCCTTATTTTGTAAAGAAATAGATCCAAGGATTCTTCTTTGGTAAGTGCATTGATGGAGGTGACTATGAAGAATATCACTGGTGTTATCTCGTGGTACACTCTAACAAGGTACCACTATTTAAGAATCAAGGAGCAGGTCAGAAGAAAACCTGGGCAATATCATATGAAAGGCAGTGTTAGAGTTCATACACAGTAAGCAAAGAGTATTGGTATCTCCATAGTACAGGGGGCATGCTCCTGTGTTGTTAACATGTGTGTTCAGTTTATAAGATCTTAATATTTTCCACACACTTAACTGAAGTATATCCCTGCTGTGATTTTTAACCTTTTGTACAGAATTTTATAAGTGCTGTGCTCAAGCCACAGGTGTAAATGCTGATCTCCACCCCATTAGTAAACTGTTATTTTTGGCAAGCTTTCAGTTGGCACTATTGCTTAGCATTGTAACACAAATATTGGAACAGTCAGCCATATCAGCTGCTAAATTAAGATGTCTAGAGAAAAGCAGGAGTTAAGATTTATTTCTGTTACATGATATGGAAGAAAGGGAGTTGGTGAAGTATGAAGCTAAATATATATAAAAATTACCTCAGTCATCTTGAAGGCGGTAATAAGGTGTGGAGGAGCAAGTTGCTAAAGGATGTACTGCTGTCTTAGCAGCAGTAAATCAGATCGGAGGGCCTCACAGTAAATCATCATGAGTCAGATTTGTGAAGAAGAATTTGCATTAGGGACTAAGTGATTCCTCGTCAGCACTGAATGTCTTAAATTATTTTTCTAGATGAGGTCAACATATAAGCATTTTATGAGTGTTACTCAGTTTCCTAGAGTATAAGCTGTTACAGATGGTTTCTGCATAATACTGAGGATACTGTCCTGTTACTGAAAAGGAAAGGCTCTAAGTGATAAAATGTCATGATCACTTAATCTCTAGCATAGTTTAAGGTAAATTCCAACAAAATCAGTGGGCTATGTGCTTACTGATTTATTGTTGTTTGTAGTTGTATATTACTGTGGAAGTCTTCATTAATCACTTTTGTGAAACTAGAAGAATGAATGTATTTTGATCATGGCTTGGAATTGTGAATGTAAAAACAAGTGCAGAACTGGTTGACAATGCTTTCTCTATAGAGTTGCTTCCAGACTCAGCTGTATGAAATGAGCTTCAGCTGGCTTTTCTTTAGCTGTTCTTCTATCCCAGGAGGAGATAAGAGTTGATGATAGAATTATTTGTTGTTAGCATGCTGTTGAGGGCATTTAGTGTTGCAGATGATTTCTCCTGTCTTCAAGTACTTATGGAAGAACTGTCATGGACAGTTCATACTAGGAAAATGGTAGAATCATCCAGTGGAAGAGAGGATCCCAAATTATTGTATTTTTCTGGAATTTAGGATGAGAGAAATAAAAGCATTCAACTAAATATAGTAAAATATTTCCAGGCAAGTCACAAGAGCTCTTTGTTATCTTCAGAGGTGACCAATATAACTAAGATGTTAGTTGGTACACCTAGACTTTGTTGCTGTTTTGTTGGATAAGCTAGGTGGAACACCATGGAGGTTAAGATTCTGAAACTGAGTGGTAGAGATTCCTAAAGTTTAAGGAAGTTTGAGTTGTGCTGTCAGTTCACTCTTGACAAAATATTTTTTAATAACAAAGTTGTTAATACTGCCAGTAAAACAAGATACTCTGAAACATTATGACAGAAAGTGTGGTTTGGAGGTTGTAGTGCAGCTCATTATTTGATTTAGCTTTGTCAAATTACATCAAACTGTCTTAACCGAATGAAATCTTGTATGTTGTCCTTTTCTAAACATAAACTATGTGAAATTTACCTTGCAGCAAGTGTTGATCTGCTGCAGCCAGTTCTTTCATTTGCAACATTGAAGTTCAGAGTAGCTCAGGGTGGTGCTGGAGTGAATGTGAGAGGAGGCAGAACTGCTGAAGCTGTGTAGTGATTCTTTTAGCAGGAGGCAGGCTGGTGTAGTCTGGAGTTGGAAGGTTTGAAATATGAAATATTCATGAACCAGTGTAGTTGGATATTGTGGGACTTGGGCAACTGTTCTTTCTTAAATACATGTTTTAGTGTGGCTTTGGAGCTGTGTCTTTGACATGTTGGCAAGTATTGACTTTCTTGTGGCTGTTGGCCTTACCAGGCGTTTAGCTTCTCATCCTTTGATTTCAAGCCTTACGTAGCTTCCCGGATAAGTTGTAGTTGCTCCAAAATGCTCTGATCTATCCAAATGCCTCATGTTGTTCCTTGTATCTTGTTGGTCAGGGAGGAATAAAAATCTTAAGTCTCAACTGATTTCAGGATAAATGTGTAAAGTGTGCAGCGTTCAATACCCGTTTGGGGAGACAGAGCAGCTTTCACGTTAAAAAGAGAAGAGTTCTGGGAACAGTGATTATGAATTTTTGAGCTTGCAGATAACCTCAGTGTTAGATGTATAGCTTTTCAAAATCTCCAACTGAAAAGAAAGGTTAAAAGAAAAAAAATTGTATCAGAACACTTCCACATTTTTGAGAGGTAGCCAAATAGTCATTTTGATGCTCTTCAATTTGCAATAATTGTTCAACTTATAACAGGGTTCTCAGGAGGTTCTGAAAATACTGATGCATTTAAAATGGAATTATACTGCAGGTAGATTTTTCTTTTCTGTGACCCATGTTTTAAATCCAGTATTTAAGTACTGTGAACTGTTAGCATAAGTATAGTCCTATTGTCTGTGATTCATGTTAATAGTCCTTTAACTGCACTGGGCCATTTCATGGTCATTCTTTTTCTTCCCCATCCAAAAGAAGGGAGTTCTTTTTTCTTTGTAGGGGTTTATTATATGGATGATCTTTCTATTCAAATACAGGGCTGTAAAGGTGGAACTCTCGACTTAATCAAAACTCTATACGGACACAAGAGCTTGTCTTTTGGTGTACATCTGCACAGAAGCAGATATATAGCCTGATGTTTCTCATCTGTAGCCCTTCATTCCTCCTCTTAGTTTTTTTCTACTTTATGTCTCTCTGAAAATTAAAATACCTCAGGATAAGTGTCACTGTTCTACAAAGTCCCATGCACACGTACGGTGCTGCATTAATAATAATAATAGTAATAATAATAATGAAATATTTCCTGAAAGAGGGTTTTCAAAGGGAGCAACAACTTGAGAGCAATACCAGTGAGAAAATGACCTGCAATTTAGTTATGATGGGGTGAAGCAATTAGCTTCTTGAAATTTGTTCTTCCTTGTTCATTATGTAGTAATTACTGCTGCAGTTCTCCCTGAGGCATCAAGTGCCAGCAGGACAGTTGAACCATTGTGAAATGCCATCTGCAGTGCATCAGACAAGTCCCATTGTCTCTTTTACTGTAGCTATCTGCAGCAGTTGCCAGACTTGACATCTGTGATGGCTGTACTGCTGAATTAAGTACTTTCGAAGCTCAGAAATTTAGAGAAGAACTGTGTGGCTGTTTGGTTATGTGTATTGTAACACTAGGCACATATCTAATGCTTTTGTCTAGACACGTCGTTGACAAAGGCTCTGTAGATTGAAACTGTAGTTCAATATTTATTACATTATGAAGTATATGAAATATTGTCCAGCTTACTGCACAGTTTCTTAGGTAGGTAATTATGACACAGATGATAGTTATGTAATACATTCTGCATACTTTTGTGTGAAAGTAGTATATTCTGATGTTTTTAGTAATTTTCCATGCATTTATGTTTACTTAAGGAAAAGTTTGTGGGACAGTGTTTTTCAACCAAAACATAAGTAGCAGAAAATGGGAGTTGACTAGTTAAGCAACAAAATAAGATACCTTTTTACAGTTTTCTTTGTCAAAATTTCTGTCAGGGAAATATTTGAAGTATGGGTATATACTTTGGATCCGAATAGCTCTTAAAACACTAGGCAGTGGCAGGTGGACAGCTGAGTGACAAGTACAGTTGTAGTTGTAAGCACGTGCCTCCTGTTCTATGTGTCAAATGCAGTATGATGCTTTCTAATATGCTGAGCTTGTGAACACACTGCGACTATGCTTGGTAGCTTATTCTGCTTTTGTTCTGTAATAGCCAAGAAGCTTTTGGTGGTGTTTATATTACAGTAACTAAAACTGTGTGTTTGACAGCCATGAGGAACTCTATTCTGGTCGTCCGTATGGAGCGCTTGATTCTGGCTTCAATAGTGTGGACAGCGGAGACAAAAGATGGTCAGGGAATGAAGTAAGTGTTGCAGCTTTATTTTTGTTGAGTGCAGTATTGTACAGGAAAGAGAACTAATAAGTATACATCTGGAAACATACTCGGTAGGTAACATGCATATGCTAGTGTGCAGGTTGCCTTGAGCCAAAATTATTTGTTGTTTTATTGGGGAAAAACAAGCATAATTTTGTATGGGATGGACACAAACTTGGAAGTAGTAAGAGATGTATAAAACAGTGCATGAGAGATTAAGTTACTGGAGCATAAAAGATGAGAAAAATGAGATTCCACATTTTAAAAAAAAGCTTATAACGATCATATTACAATGTTGAGTCAATTACAATTACTCCTGATTAGTTGTTTCAGTAAAATAAAACTGAACATGAAAATTAAACTTCAAAAATCGGATGGGAATTTTGTCATCTCTCATTGCAGCTTATTTCAAATGCTAAAATCTGCTTGTCATTTAGAAGCAGGAAAATGGGATCTCTTAGCAAGGAGACTGTCAATTATTCTTTCCAGAAAGAAGCTCTCTTTTGCTCTTGGGACAACTACGAAAGGCAATAGCCAAGACCTAAAGTGTTCTAGCGAGCTATACTCTGTAAGCCTGCTTGCACTCCTAGCTTGGTTTTTGAGAGGGTTCAAGGAGTTTCCATCTTGTGATGTTTACAGGCATTTTTCTTGACTTCACCTGTTTGTTTTCTAAAGCCAACAGATGAGTTCTCAGATCTCCCTTTACGTGTGGCAGAGATCACTAAAGAACAGAGACTGCGAAGAGAAAGTCAGTATCAAGAAAATCGAGGGAGCGCAGTCGTAACTAATGGTGGAGGTAAATAGTGATCTTTGGCTAACAGTATTTATTGTCATCGTTATTAAAGTTCTAGGATGTTTGCTATAAAGAGTAGGTTGTCTAAAGAGGGAAAGAAAGAGAAAGATCTGGGTGGAATTATACAAAACCACTGTTGTGCAAACTGTAAAAATGTTGTATTAAGGATGCTACAAAGCAAAATCAAATAGCATCAGAATTAGGATTATCTAGGAAGCATTGTGTCAACTTCGGCATATGTGCTATGTTAAAGTCTCCAACTGCTTCAAAAAGTGTTTTGTAATCTTGAATTTTGCTGCATGGACTTCTGCATAAGCTACTGGGGAAAATTTATAGCTGTAGTAAATTATCAGTGCTCTATGCCGACTACTGTTGGTATGAGATGAGCAATTTTGTCAGGGAATTTCCTATTTCTAAGTAGCAGAAGTGCCTTGTTCAGCAGTCTGGGGTTTTAATCCAGACTTGCAAGCTAAATAGGAGGGACTGGTATTTGTGAATGACATTGCTTATTTGCACCTTCTCAATTGGTTGTCCTGCAGTCTTACAGTGGCACCCTCCTATTTGTTCAAGAGGTGATAGCACTTTCCTTGTTTCTTGATCTCTGCAGTCTGTCCTCCATTTTAATTTACAGTAATCTGCTGCTACCACTGTCTCATCCTGTTTATGTCCCAGTTTTAGCATTCTTCCAGGCTTGTTTTTTTCAATCATTCCCTCTTCTCCATTTTTCTACACTACTTATTATTAGATCTCTTCCTTCTCAGCTGCTCCATTTTCCATTTTCCCTAATGGCTACAATTCGTACTCTCTGAGTATCACTCTTCCGTGCTACTCCATGACCAACTCCCACTTTTTTTTTCCTCTTCCCTCCTCTTCCCCCTCTTCGTCTTTTCCCATCTTCTTTTCTTCTCTGCCACAGTCTTTTGTTTTCTTTGCCACTTTCTAAAATACCTGAAACTTTTTGGTTGACTCACACTCTTTTACATGTTAACAGACAAAAAATTCAGTTCAAACAGTTAAATTCTGGCAAAGTTGGAATTGGAGACATGGTGTCCATGGGAAGCTCTGGGCAGCCTTAATAACAGGTAGTGCTGCCAGCTCTGCCTCCAAGACTAACTTTATTTTGTTCTTTGGGTTTTGTACACCAGGGATTTCAAAATGTCTCACTAGTCTTTTAAGATGAAGCACATTCAGTTAATGAGTAGGAGTATCTGAGGGGCACAAGACATAGCATGAGGCTGACAGTGATCCCTTCCAATTTTGTGTTCCTAACACAGATACTAATGTCTTTCACCCTCTACTGTATTATTATTATTATTATTATTATTATTATTATTATTATTATTATCATCATCATCATCATCATCATCATCATCATCATTAAAGTTTAATAAGCAAGGCTGGAAAGAAAGAGTTTTTTCGTTTTGTTGGATTTTTTTTTTAAGATTTGAAACTGAGATGGAGATTTAATGAAGCCAGAGTATATAGGAATGCTGTTTTGGATGGTTGTAGTAGCAGAGGAGGTGGCTTTGGCAGTAACAGTTGCTAGATTGTGTGGTGAGGCAAAGAGAAGTCTGTTTTAGACAAGCAGGAAAGGGGTGGAGGAGTAGAAAAAGAATGTCTGCAAGAGTCTGGAGCAAGTTTGGGGAGAGTTTTAAGAAAAAGAAAGCTCTAGTGCTCAGAAAATGAGCTTATGCTTTCCCCTTCATCCCCAGCACAGTTTTTTCACCAGGGTAGTTTGCTCAGTGTCATGATTCTCAGAATCTCTGGGCAAAAATGTGTAAAAGCAGTGACAAGTGAAAAAATTGCCCTACATAATATCACCCACACAAGGGAAAATCAATACTAGTCAAACTGTGCTATTTCTTGCTCTCATTTTAGTGGTTTCTAATTTCTAATTCTTTCGTTTAAATAAAACTGCAGATGCTTTTATATTGTTTTAGAGGGGGTTTGTTGCTTTCTGCACTGTCCTTTGTTATTTCCACTTTTTATATTTATTGCATTTGCATTCAGATAACTTAGACATGCTGCCCTCTGTTTTGTTGTTGTAGTAATAAAAATGGTAGAAGTATCTGTCATATCCATTCTAATTTTTCTGACAGAGATGAATTAGAAGCAAGAGAAATGATACAAAATGTACACAGATCATTGTACAGTCTTGGTGTTAGCTGACAGATTTTGATAGATAGTTTTTGATATTGGAAAAAAAAATCACAATATTTCTTTTACTTCTTCAGGCCATCAGTATAAAACTATGTGCTTGATACCCTTTTCTCATTGCTTTTTAAAAAGCATAAATTTTATCACTCTTTCAAAGTTTGATATTTAACAAATGTTAGTGGGCCTGGCAAAATCTAAGAGCTTTTAGGCTGAGCTTTCCTAGACAGAAGAAAAACAGTATGGCCTTAGTTCCTGACATTGCTTTTTTTGTGGGGTTTTTTCCTCTCTTGTTGGTTATCTAATGATGGGTGTTTTCTGTGTGTATGTATGTCAAGTGGAACATGATCTCGATCAGATCGACTATATTGATAGCTGTGCCACAGAAGAGGAGGAGGAAGAGGTGAGGCAACCCAAGTGCATGGACTCAGACAGCCTCAGCTCACAATTCATGGCATATATTGACCAGCGGCGAATCTCTAATGAGGTGGTGTGTTTTACTTAAATTAAATTCATACACCCCAGGAAAACCTTTGTGATTATATTAATGCTGCTGTCCTCAGAGGTTTTCTTGGGTTTTTTTTTTGTTTGTTTTGTTCTGCTTTTTAAAAGAAAATAAGTAGGTCTGATCTGGAAGAAGGCACAGTGTTGTGCTTTGTGGAGGGTCAAAGCTGGAGTGTTAAACTGCTCCCAAGTGTCCTTTGGGATGTGTGAAATAGGTCTAAAGCAGCCACACTGTTTTCCTGTCATGTGCGTTCTTCCAAGCTTGTGCTTTAGGCATATGTGAAGTAAATGTTTTTTCCAAAGGAGTGCTGTCTTCAAAAAACATTGAAGTTGATGCTTCCAACTGGTATTTGGTGATACCTAGAAAAGTGTTAACATTTACTTGGTAGTACTGAATATATACTGGCTTTCTCAAGGGAAAAATATTGATTGTTATCAGTGTAAAGATTTAGTACAGGAATTTTGCAACTTCATTAATTTGGCTGTTCATGTTGATTATAAGTTATCTGCTAGTAAACTTTCCCTTTTAAGTTTAGGCTAACTTAAATATTCATAATTTTCAGCCTACTTTTTTGCAGGGAACGATCTCTCTCTCTTACTGTTGAGCAAGGTTCTGAACCCACAGGTACAGACTCAGATATGCATATATTCACCTTTCTGAACAAAAAAACCCATCTGTAGTTTCAGATAAACCTGGCATGAAACTGCTCTCAGTCAGTAAAAGTTGAATGAACAGTAGGTAAAATTACCACTAGACAGGTTAGAAAGTTCTCCAGCTTTTTACAAATGTCTAGAAACAGGTGTGAGTAACTCTGGACATTGCCCTGTTTTCTGTCCCAGGAAAAATAAAAATAAATAAATAAGGGCAAACTTAGCATATAATATCCTAATAATAGCTGCTTTTATTGGCTGCTTACTGTATCCAGATGATGTCCTAGTGCAGACAAGGGCAATGATACCAGTTATTGTCACTTTTTAAAATCTCATGTCATTTCATTGCTTTCTAGCTGCTAAGGAATTAATGTACATTTTAATAAAATTTACTAGAATTGCTTTAAATTGTATGAATTGCCAAACTGGAAGGTGCCTTTGTTCCAGCTGTAGCAACCATTGCTGCAAACACATGGAGAAAACTGTTCCCTGTTAAGTCATTTGGATGGCACGCTTCTGGAGAGTGTCCTCAGAAATTGAACCTATAGAAACAGATTTTCAGCCACATGATGTTTCCTTCTGTGTTCTGTCGGTCTTAATTAATACCTGTGTACACAGCTACACAGTTCAGTGGCTCACTGTACATACTACATGAATAACCTAAGAAAATCTTAGTAGTTGATAGACTTAAACTATTGTGCTGTGATTCAAATGTGTCCTTTCAAAGTTTTGTGCATTTTGAAGCAGAAAGATACTTGCTCTTTGAAAAAAGAAAAGTGTATCATTAGCATTCATGTAGGAGTCAAGATTCCTATTTTGTGCACATTACTGTTTACTGTGTTTAAAAATCATTGACACAGACATCTGAGAGGTGCATTCATTTTGCTGAACTCCTAAATTAAGTATCAAATCACAAAAGCTGATGCCACTTGCAGCATAGACACAAGAGCAAAACTCAGAAAAGGCAACTATTGGCAAGGACTCTTTGCTGCGGATAATGAAAAGGCATTGATCAGCATCAAAAGCTATTCATAGGGATCTATAGATTCATACAAATTAAACTGCTTTTAAATGAAGCAGTAGTTTCTCTAAAAAGACAATCCAAAACACTCTGCTACTTAGGAAGGCTAACAGTGTGCAATGTAGCAACATGCATACAGGCATGAGTTAAAAATGGCAAGTTAATCTTGAAGAGTTTCCATTTTCCTATGTTAATGGGTGTCAGTGAAAGTTTTGAAGTAACCTTAAGGGTAATATATCTCTGTTCCCAATGGGATAAATTATTTTATAGTTCAAATTAAGCCTACGGTGTTTTCATTCATCCCATGTTTTGCTTTCTTTGTCCCTCTGTGTCCTGTCTTTAGGGCGTCATAAAAAAACATGAAGTATTATATCCTGTATTTCTGAAATTCCAGACTGCTTTGTATATATATGTTCTTGTATATATGTTCTTATATATGTTCTTCAGAGCTTAACTCTACATTTCTTCTAAGTGACATTAATTATTTTCTACCTACATGTATTTCTCTGCATGATTCTTAATAGTGGAGGTTTTTAAACTCTTAAATTTATCAGTAGGCATATTTAATCTTGAAACTAAAGTTTATTTAAGTTGGAGGAAAAAGTAAAAGTGAGCTTGCCTATTTGGAAATTAACATCTCCGGGTTGTGTTTTGTGGTTCTTTGTCAGGTATTTTGAATACCAGTAGTTACAAATGTTGCTCTGCAAACATTAAGATAGAGTTTTCTGAGTAAGTTGCTAACTATGTCTTCTGTGTTATTTTGCTTAGGGCTCACCAGTAAAGCCTGTATCTATCAGAGAGTTTCAAAGAACAGAGGATACACGACGATATTTGCATCAAAACAGGTAAAAATGTGTAGTAACAGTAATTTTATCTTACGTTTTATGATGAATGCAGATTTACTGAATGTGCTTAGAAAATGGCATTTTCTGTGGCTTCCAGAAATGTACGTGGCACTTTATTTATAAATTATTGTTCCGGATTAGGAATTTCTATTCTAATAATGGCAGTGACCAAAAGACTTGGCTGATCTAGATTGATGCTCAGCTTTAAATCAGTTGATATCTGCCAAATTAAAGTGTATACTTTTAAACTGATTTAATATCTGCTTTTCATGATTTAATTTGTGCTTTGATTAAATAGTTGACTTAAGCTATATTACACAAGACAGAAGGGATAAATGTACTTGTACTGCAGGTTTAGGGGAAGCATAAACAAAGTTACTGTGGAGTATCTGATGTGCTATGAGGTCACATTCTTGATTAACTCTTGGTAGCTGTATTACTGTGGAGCTCTAGTTTAATTTAATATGTGCTTTTCTGTGCCATAATCATGAGCTTACATCAGGGGAAGAAGGGATAAAATGGGAGTCACTGCTGAAAACAGGTCACTTAATTTAACAAAGTAGACTTTTTGAATTATGTCTATACTTTTTGATGATTACTTGGCTTATTGGAGGGAATGCTTATATGTAAAATATGGGTTAAAGTTGGACAGCTTATAAATGAGGCAGTTAAGTTTGAGGAAAGGCTTTTGGTTGTATAGTTAAAAGAACAGAAGATAAGCAAATGTATAGCTTCTTGCTAATGGAATTAAAATCAAAATTAATAGAACTTTTAATATGCCATTGAAGCATTTCAGTATTCTGTGGAGTGAAAATGAATGTGCACAGACTCAGCAGAAAACCAGCTCGAATTGTACTAGGAATGTTTAAAAAAAAAACAAACCAAAACAACAACTGCTAGCTGTAAGTATGTCATTACTTACACTGTCAGTAGGAATTTTTAATGCCATTCTAAAATGGCACCGAAAGCAAATGAGTGTGTAAATTTTTCTAGAGTTATGGCAACATTTTAATAGACACTTTGAAATGTGCAGATACAGTAGCTGTACTGATATAAAGGGTAACTCCTTCAGCATATATCAGCGTTTCTTATCCTGTAATGTCTACGGATAAGGCATAAAATAATACAGCAGTCTGACACGTTCTTCCCAAATAAACTGAGTGTTCTTGGTTTGAAAGACTGATTTTTTTTTTTGGTTTGTTTATTTATTTTTCTATTTGAACGTTTGTGGTCAACATGGTTAGACTTTACAAACACTGGATTCCATGACATATCTGAAGGAAATGAGAAGGCTAGTTAGCCAGCAGAGCTAGACAGATTTTAATGATGAAGGAAGTTGTAGTTCACTAGGGCATCCAGAGTTTTAAAAATTTAACTTAAGAGTGGCAGCAGATCTTCATGCAGAAGTAGTTAATCGGTGATTTAAATGACTTGTAGTTTATTCATTTTATGCTGCAGCAGAGTGAAATTCTTACTGGGGCACTAAAAGCAGGTCATACTGATATTGCCTTCAAAACTGTAAAAACAGCCATATAACAATGAGTAATTTTTTAAATTTTAAGCTTGTGTTAGTCAAATATTTCACTTGTGACAACCACAAGCTGTAAACTGCTTCCACAGTAATTCTGTGCAAATGCCTTGGCAGGCAGCCTCTTTTTTTTTCTTCAGCATGCTGGAGCCATTAAGACTCTTAGGGTTGGATGTAATGCAGACTTCATCTCAAGAGTACTTACATTAGTTGATTTAATTCAGTAAATACAGTTTGTGCCTCTGGACACGCTGTGGTGCATTCCTGATACAACAGAGCTGTGTGTACTCTGGTCTGAATACGCTTCTTGGCACTGAGTTGAACCTAGGCCTGTATGTATGTTCAAAACAGCACAGTAATGGATTTGTCATGTGCATCAGCACTAATTGAAGTATCAGAGGAGACCTGTAGCATATGCATCTTCCACATCTCTTAAGCTTCTGTGTGCAGAATAGGTAATAAGTCTAGACAAGCAGCAGGACTGACATTTTTTGGAAATTCCATAGGTGCCCCAGGAGCAAAGGTTGCAGAGTCCAGGCTGTTGAGCATAAGCTATTCGATTTCCATCAACTTTCTTTCTAGGCAGCAACATGGCAGGGGACATGCTGAAGACTGTGGACACCGGGAATTGTTTCAGTGCTAGCAGCTGCCTTCTAGAAGGAAATATAAAATTTCTCTTTTATTATTGATATGATGGAAAAGAGACAGATTGTCTATTGTTTACTTTGTGACTTTGATGGCTTGGATCACTGACAGGGAGTCATCACTGGCTTGATGGAGTGAGCAGATTTGTTCTGATCAGAGGGTGCTAATGTTTAAAAAGAATTCTTTGCAGAGCAGAATAAGGCCTACAATAAGCAGAATATAGTCTTAAAAGAGAGATTCCGTCTTTGTACATTTTGAAATCATTGTTAATTAAGCAAGTTACATTAATTATGAATTACAGTAGTTGGGATCTGACTTCGTATTACAATATGATTTCTTAGTCATCCTGAATTTCACTTCCATGGTATCTGAAGCTAATTGTCCAGGCAGTTACTCTCAGAAAAACAGCTGTAAGCTAGAGAAGAATTCACCTGACAGTAGTTTATATGCATCAGTGGCCAATCCCCCTTCCACCTGGTGTTTACCTGCAGGGATACTGATGAATTACGAAGACCTGACACTCTAAATTTGATGCAGGACAGAGAGCATCACCAAGTACTAAGGAGTTATGTGGACAGGACAGAGAGGTAGGGAAAAGAAACATACAGTTTTTACTGATTCATTTTATTTATTCCCCCACCCCCTCCAAATAACCATAGTAGCCAGTTACTCCTCTAAATGAGGATCATATAAAAAGTTCCTGGATTGGTTGCTTAACCAGTGGGTTTTGAAGTACTGAGAACAGAATGGGTATAAAGTACTGAGTATCTCAGTGCAATAAGCCAAACAAACAATCCCATTGGTACACCTTGAGCTGTAGAAAAAATTTTATCTCAATTCAGGAGAAGAGACAGAAATGACTGCACAAATCTGTCATACGCAGTGAGTTGTTATTGCAGCAGTTGGTTTAACAGCTTTGCTTACTAAACTTCTTTTTTGATGAGATACTTGTGTGTTGCTGATGACTCATGTATGAGAATTTTTTTTATATTTAAGATTAAAAGTATGCTTATTGTCTGTTTTTCCATTTGTTAGACCCCTGGCTGATTCACCTTACTTTCTCTCTCTATCAAGTCACCACAGTCAGGTAACACATTGAACTCTACTATTTTATTCTTTTGCATGAATTTGATGCAAAACCAAACTTGTTAGCCATAAGACAGGGACTGTTTCTCCATAACCCATGTGTAGCTCTGTCTTTACAGCCCAGTGCACTGTTTTGTTCCAGGTGCCTAATACAGATCCTGAGCTGCACCGCAGGCACATAGAGCGTACCCGTCGGGAGGCCCAGCAAGCAGCGCTTCAGTACGAGGAGGAGAGGATGAGAACAAAACAGATTCAGAGAGAAGCTGTCCTTGACTTTGTTAAGGTACTTCCTTCTAGCACCTACTTGATCTTTTCTGAATCCCTTAATTAAATTGCCAAGATCAATAATACTTGTACATTATGCTCCTGGGCATGCATGGCACTTAATAAAGAAAACAGAGAAATAGCATTTAAGTTCATTCAGTGTTGGTGCTGTAGCTTAACATAGACCAAACTAGAACTGGGGAGGAAGACAGAAGAGATTTACCCAAAATAGGATTGTTGCAAATAATTATATTTTTTACATAGTCAGCCTCATTCTTTCAATTTTGTCATTTGCACGGATGTGACAGAATTGATATGAGAAAAAGGGGTCTTTATTTGAGAAGGCATAGAGGCAATTTAATTTTGAAGACAAATTTGGCAGAGCATTCATACCCCCAAGAAGATAATGTTGCCTGATCTATTTTGGTATTTTATGATGCATAATTAAGTTACCTTCAGGTGAAGCACAGGTGCAAATTTATGGTACATTAGATACTCGCTGGACACTGCATCTTTGCTTTCTCTTGCACTACAGTCAGTATGAAGGAGTCTGCTGCTTAACATGCAAGCTTGTTTATATGCTAGTTGACTTAAATTTATTTTACTGTTTACTACTCTGGTGACCTACCCAAATCTTGACATCACAAATTTAAGAAATGTTACAGTTAGTATTTGGGCTTAGGGTGGTCTTCAGAAAGGAAAAGAATGTCTTATTGCATTTATGTAATGTATAAAATTAGTTTAGAAAAAGGGTTTTAGCTGACTGAAAATAGGCTTTTCATTAGCACCAACTAATCCAGGCCCCTGGCAATGTTTTGTAGAAAAGCTGATTTTATTAAAGGTTTGGCTCAGTCTTTAAGTTTAAAGACTTCAGATATTTAGCATGCATTTTGTTCATTGATGAGCCTTTTGGGGTTTTCAGGTTTGTTTTTTTTTCTTCTGTTGCCTTTGTTATTCATGCGCACTTTATTCTCAGCAGTTAAATTCCTCCCTTGGGTTATATTTTGGGTTTATTATGCATCTTCAATATGCAAAAGCAATTTGGGGTTGTTTGCATAAGGAATAAAGGCTGTTTTTTAACTAATAGTATCAATGGAGTTTTAGCTCAGTGGAAACTTCCAATTTCCACAATGCATGTTTAATTTAAAAAATAAAGATCTGTTTTAAAACACTCCTAAATTGTGCTGCTTTGTTCTGAGCTTTTGTTTCTCTGTCACATTCTTTTAAATCGGTCTTTCATTTTTTCCTTTTCCTCTATAGCAAAAAGCATCCTTAAGTCCTCAGAAGCAAAGTCCTCTGGATAGTGAGGTAAGAGTCCAATAAGAGTATTACTAGGGATGTCAGCACCTGAACTCTTAGCTCTCTCCATCAGAAATTATTTTCTGCTTGTGGAGAACTCTTCAGGGCTGGGTTATAGCATAGATTTTTTTCATGCTTATTATTAAGCCTTGGGTTGGTTTTTTTTTCTTATGGGACCAGTCTAATATTTATTTCTGTTCATGTAGATTGCCTGTCCGAGTGTGTTGTTTTACTGTTTCTTGTATGTTTTCTATGTTCTACACAGAAAATATATTTTATATTCCATTTGAAGATGCTCCTTGCGAGCAGTACAGTTCACTTTCTAATGGGAGTATTGGGACAAGTTATTGTGTTGTAGTCATCCTTCATCAATCAGTTTTCTCCCAGTTTCCTATCATTAGATCACCAGTTATCCCACAAAGATGAAGCATTGGAATTTTGAGGGCTATCAGAAAAAGAAATAGATTTTTTTTAAAGTTTTATTCTAGTGTAGGTTTATAATCAAAAACAGTAAGTCAGTAGGGAACACAAATCATTCAAGGCTCAGTCTTCTAGAATATACAAAGCTGAGCCAATGACATCTGTTCACTCTCTGCATCAGATTTCTGCATAGTAATAGCTCTTCCACTCCTTGCCACCCCCACTTTCCTCCAGAGGAAGCTATTTCACTTGGCAGTGTTAATCAGATCAAAACTTTTAATAATGTAATGAATATAAATAGTTCTTTAGCAGCATTTTCCAACTAACTCTTTTTTATTAGAAAATTACCGAAACGTGGGGTAATTGAAATAGGTTTTGCTCCTTTTCCTTCTTAATGTTCTTCTGTTCTTAATTTATTCTTTTAAAGGGTCCTTTGTTTTACCAGAGTAAAAACTGTGAATACATAGTTGTCTGTATTTGCTTGAGACAACACAGAAAGCAGAATAATTGATTCCTTAAGTAATACAAATACACTATAATTCATGGATCATGTGGCTATATATTCAGTTACATATACTTTATGTAATTTTTTTTAAAAAGCCTCACAGTGCTATAAACAAGCAGTACATGTTCCAAAATGTCTATCTGTTCACATAGTGTGTGTTTCTGACATTCTGTGTGTTTCTGACATTACTCCATCTCTCCCACCTCCCAGTGTCCCTTTCCATCCAGAAGGTCTCAGCATACTGATGATAGTGCCTTGTTAGTGGTAAGATCCTGCACGTAATGGCCTTTTTATGTGGCAGATTCTAGAACATAGAAATAACAACATGTTGTGTTTGTCTCAGATTAGACCAACTCTTTTAGAGCTAATCTAAATAGCATAAAACATGACCATCTACCTTGAAAAGTAGCTTAGCTGTGAATGTTGATACTCGTACTGTCAGCTATTTGTCAATAATATAGTGATGTTTTTCCACAAAGTAATTAAAACTTATCTTTTGCTGAGAGCAGAAGAAAATTACTGATAGTAAAGAACAGCTTCTAAAATTACAAATTCACCTTTAGTTGTTCTGGTTTGATTTCTTCTCAGTTTAGCTTGCTTCCTAATTGATGTTCTCTTCAGTGTTAAGTAAGCAATTTTAATGCTTTTAGTATGGCCTTCAGCTTAAACTTGTCTGTGTCCTGCACATGGTGGTTAGAAATACTTAGTATCTTCATAACCTTAGCATAGCACAGGGGAAAACTGCTCTACATGTGAATGCTACAAATCATGAAGTATTCCTCATACCTTTTTATTATCAGTGAAGATGTCTTAAAAATAATCTATTTTGAACACTTAGCAAAAATAAAAGCATTTATGTACTTAATTCATGTTTTATGCTATTTCTTCCTTTATGGCATCTTAGTGATGTAGCATAATTTAATAATATAATTAATGCCATAATCCATATCTATAAAAGAAACCTACACCTGATTTGCCTGCTGTTGCATGACTGCATGCCTTGGATTTATTTTCTTAATTCATGTGCTTCCTTTATCTGCCTAAATATTCTTTAGGCAGTTCTCTCAGTTAGAATATCTCTCTCCAGAACATGTTCGTCAAGATATTTACTGTCTCTTTATTCAGACTTTTTGGTTTTTGTGTTTTCACATGACTAGCACTGGGTGGGAGAGAAAGAAGGTTTATAATATTAGAGAGATTTAGTGATCATGCATGTGCCTGTTTGGAGAAATTACAATTAGCACATTAAAACGTGCTTTCATATTTAGATAAGCAGGAGAATAGCAGTTGTTTGGATTAAGTGGTGTTACTCTGTTGTCAGTGAATTAATTTTGGAATGTATTTTAAAGATACCTTTAAGGACCCAATTTCTATTTGATTGTGTGATCCCATAATTTTCAGTGTAAATTAATATATAGAATTTTACGTTACATGACTTGGAATTTCCAGAAATCATTTTGAAACTGGCTTCCATAGTTGTTTCTTTCCTTTGTGTCTTTAGCCAAGTTACATGCTTGCACTTCACAAAAATGTGGTCAGGCTGGTAGGGAAAGACTGAACTAGATTTAAAAGCAATAATTTCTGTAGTTTTTCTTCTGATTTCCTTGTTCTTTTCAGCAGCACTAAACTATAATAGTATGTGTAATACTGGGTTTCTGAACTGCTGAAGTATGATCTGCAGCTCTACTTTGTAGTGGCAATACACACTGTGTCTAATGGTGACATATGCCAGGGCAGCTGTTTCTGGCAATTATTGTAGCTGGAACATTAAGCCCATGCTAGCTCATGAATTTCAGCATTTTTGTTTCCACAAATGTGTTTTGTTCAACAACAAGGAAATGTTCGTTAGGTTGCTTAAAAAAAGAAACTGTCATAAGAGTTGAAATTACTTCTACGTTTTTATATTGTTGCATTTCATTTGACATTTTCCCTGTCGTTATGGATTTGAAATTTATCCAGGTCTAATTTCTGAGGATGGTTTTTCCCTCCACTGAAGTAGAAAGGCATTTCATATCAAAATTCTATTCAATAATGCGTTTTCAGTACACACTTTCCATTTACAGTTTCCTCTCTTTTTCTGTCTGCACAAAGACTGCATGCAGTAGTGTAAACTTTACCTTACGAAACTTCTGGACATTGAAACTTACAGATAGGTTAGGGTTTTTTTTTTAAAAAAAAAAAAAAAAAAAAAAGTTCTGCTAGATTTTCCACTAATTGTTTTAGCTCTATGGTCTGGGAATAACAATTTGTGGCAAAAGAGAATATTACATAGAGGTACAGTAAAAGATCTTTTGTTCAGCTTTTCCCTCCCGTTGTTACATCAGAGCTCTCTAAAATGAGCAGTTGCTTTTCTTCTGCTCCAAACAGTGTTTTCAGCTCAGATGTAAGGAAAATATTAAAAAAGCAATAGGTCTCATACATAGTTAGAAAGCCAGTGAGCTTTCTTTTATTTTACTACTTCCCTCTTCTGGTATTGTTACTGCTTTAACAAAAATTTTCTTAAAACCAAAATTAAGTTGAATCTCCTTTTTTAAATCTTACATCATGGTTTTTTTGGTCTTCTCCTTGTTGTCTTTGACCACTAAATAAAATTAAAATGTATTCACATTGCACAGGTTACTTTGACCATTTCCTTCTGTTTGTAAACCATTTCAGGACAGTCTGTTTGAACTCACAAACTGACTATCCATACTTCCTATAAATGTTTCTTCTATATAACGTTCCTGGGATTAGAAGTGGTGTGATTTGGCTGTAGTACTTCACTGGACACGGTGATGGATTTGTGTTGACTTGTAATAGCCACACTAAAAAGTTGCTGAAGAAATGTAGTCAGTGGCCTCTCTGAGAAAATGGCTGTATACCTCCAAGTTTTATATTAGTCATGTCCTCCTTGTTACTCTTACGAGGGTAGTCCCATTTGTTACAATTGAGTTTACTTCATAGAAGCAATCATAGAATGTTTGGGTTGGAAGGGACCTTAAAGATCATCTAGTTCCAATGTCCCTGCCATGGGGGGGTTGAGGTGGTATCAAGGCTTCAGACTTGACTAATGATTTCAGCCTTGATTGCTTATGAATCTCACTTTTTCCCAAATATCTTCTTGTTTTTTCTATTACTGTCCTTTACAAGGTGAGTACTATGGAATAAAAACAAAACACAAAACATCCTCTCAAACTGCTGTTCAATTTCTCTGTTGTGAAGCCGATGAAATACTTGACAAGCATCAGGCAGTTGGTGTGACCTCTTCCTTTGATAACCTTTGTGTCACTGGTGCCTTGTGCTCCCTTCATTGCATTGGGTTTTCTTGTTGCACTCTCAAACATGGCCTGAGGCCATTGTGTTACTGCTAGCACGTGGGATTTCTCAGACATTTTGAGTTAAGGCTTTTGGGCACCAGTGTATTACAATGGTATGGGTAAAGTAAGCAGGATTTAAATTACGCTAACTTGTACCCTGGAGTTTTCTCTCAGACCATTGGCATCCCTTTGTGTATTCAAACATTTAATAATCAAAGTCCCTTAAAATATCCTTATTTGGTTCGTGCAGAGTTCTGATTGGGCTCTGCTTTGGCAGTCCCTTTATCTACAGTTGTTTCTGGCACAGGGAGATTTCTCTGACATCAGTGCTAGACCTAGAGACCAAGTGAGGCATATGCAGTAGGGTGTTGTTAAATCTGAATTGTGGCATCCTGGTTCCTTTTGTATTGTGTCTACCTTTTCTTACAGTTCTCTGCCTCACTTCTTCCTTTCTTCCTTCTCTTTCTTTCCTTGCTGTCCCTGACAGAATGGCTTTGAGCCTCTGTTTGTGTTTGAGATTGACAGTAACACCAATACCATTAAAAGAAGGCCAGGGACTCGCAAACAGGTGAAGAGCATGCAGTGTGTTGCTGTTGTGATTGTCTCACCCTGTGCTGTGCAATGTTCCCCTTCCCTTCACCCACTGTTGGGTACATGGATTGTGACAACTTCTTGTTAGTCTGCGTCAAGGTTGTCTTGCTCTTTTTGTACAGGAATAAACAGTTATTTTAATGATACAGACCACCTACTTCTGTTTTATTTTATTGTTTTCATATACTAGCTAATGTTTTGTTTAAGTCATGTGATATTTTGAAACACTTTTAAAAAAAAAAAAATCCACAATTTTTGCTCTGCACTGCTGTGGAGAAAGTCTGTCTTGAGGATCAGCTGTGAAGTCTGCATAGGGCCTAAAGATGTTTGTATTTAAGGCTTGCCCTGACTATAACCTTTGCATCTAGTCCATCCTGGCTGTATGATTCTGAAGTGGCAGGATAATTGCAAAATATTTTGAATGCTAACACTCCCAAGCATGTCGTTCATGTCTGTAGAGTTTCTAGGTATCATTTCATGTTCTTTTCCTGTGTGGAACTGCCACTTTGCTATTTGAATGCTGTTTCGGAAGGTATAGTTTCATTCTCGAGCCATTCAGTCTTCAGATTTGAATGATTTGATTGTGCTTTCAATAACACACAGAATTTGGCCTTCTAGATCCACCTGTCAGTGACGGATTGGCATGCTGGGGCTCCTGTTCTGTAAACATGAAGAGTTGTTTATAGGGTTGGTTTTGATATTGGTTATAATTGAAATCTGGCTGCACTTTATTTGTGACAACACTTCTAATCTTCACACCGACATCTTCCCCAAGAGCTAGATTCCACCCACAGAATCTTACTCTGTGTGTAATTCGCAAGGATCGGCATTAGGTGTTTGTGGCAGACACAGTGTGTATTCTTGAGTCTGTTTAGATGCGGGTTTCCCTGATTTTACAAGGTTGATAGGAAAGTAGCTTACTAAAAATGCGTAACACACTTGAAGCATTAAAAAGAAAGGTATTCATTTTTAATAGTGGCTCAGAATGAACTGCTGTAGGGTAAAATTTCCTTCTGTCTCATGGCACAGGTGTTACAGTAGGTGTTACTGAAGAAGCTTTTACCTCACTTACTGTTCTTAGTTCTGCTTTTAATGTCACTGTGTTGTGTGTAGAAGAAACATTGCACTTCCCAAGCTTATTAGCCAGAAAGTTGAGGAGCATAGGAAAGCTTTAACTGGAGTTCAGGAAGTATGTATCTGTTGCCTGTTGAGTGTTTCCAAGAATGTGATCATGATCATCTGTTCCTTTATAACATGCTTACTGCATTCCACCTTTGACCTGTCAGCCGTTTGCTAATACTGCTACTGCCTTTTCTTTCTTTCTGCATTCAGTCACTCTCAGGGTTGAATCAAGAAAGCTGTGCTACTACCCTGCCTAATGCCTCTACCTTCAGTCCTGTCAAGGTATCTCTTGCTATTATCATTCACCAGTAAAGCCAACAAAAAGCTCTTGGATCCACACATCTGTTTTAACAGGTGTTAGTCTGTCAGCTTCTAATGAAAAGTTCAGGTAGGGTATGAATCCGATTTACCTGATTAAACTGTAGTAGATATTACCTCATCTTAGCTTTAGGCTGTGTCTACAGGAGGCCTAAGCTGTAAAAACATGGTAACCAGTCTCTGCTCCGAGGGTTTCTTGGTTGTCTTTGATGTTACTTTTTCTGTACAAGATCATTTACTCTTGACTGAGTTCATCAAAAGTACTCTTCTATTCTTTACCAGCTCACTTTTGAATACAGATGTCCTGTGTTTCTTTCTCTTCTGTGAAAACTGCTATCCTGAATTCACAAGAAATCATTAGTCTGTGTAAGCACTGTAATAAAACCACAGTGTGTTTCACTGGGGAGAGTGATGTTCAAATAAATAACAGTTTTGCATTAGCAGAGATGTTGAAGAGGTGTATCCTAACTGGTGCTGCTGTAATGCGAGTTCTGCATGTTGTTTAATTATCTGTTTTTCTGTGTCCCCTTTGCAAAGAGTACTTTGAAATTCTTGTTTGGAAGAGTAAACAAAGATCTGTCATTGCACAGTCAGTGCTGTTTCATCCTTCTGTTTCCTCAGAAAAAAAAGCAATTGTGTCATTTCTGCAAAAGAAAAAACTTTGTCAGTTTTTGCAGAGATGAGACTTGGGGAACAATAAACTGTGTTTTTTCACATTTCTGGGTTTTTTCCTGAAACACATTTAGATGGATGGAGCCTTTTTAAAAACGCATCAAATTAAAATGTAGTCACAGATTTTCTAGATTAGGACCATTTATACTCTTCTGGTTTTTTTTGTCCACAGAGTGATGACAGATCTACCATCTCCCCTGGCTCAACCTCTACTCAGACAGGTAACAGGGAAGGGAAGAAACATTTCTGAAAAATAAGATCAAGATGCCTGCTTGCTTATTGGTGCCATGAAGAGAAGGGAGCATATGTTCCCATCTCTGTATGTGGCACTGCTGTGTTTGAGAATGTACCCAGTTATTTGGGTCTCCTTAACAACACATGAAGGAAAAGACAACAGGGGTGAAGCACGTCCTCAGGCCAGAGCATAGGGTTTGCCTGGTTTAGGCCTTCATACAGGCTTTGGCACACAGATGCATTCAGCAACAGTCAGAACAGTTGTTGGCATTGGTATGTGGAATGTGCTTTGCATGCAAGTGTCCTTGGAATTGCCTTTTCCTGCTCTGCGCTTTTATCATGCATGGCTGTAATTTATTTTGTCATTATTAAAATTTTTGGTTTGTTCTTTTTAATTACCACATTGCTGAACCCATTTCCTATTTAAACTCTAACCGTTTCCTTCTTCCTCCTTTCCTTTCCTGTGCCTTTCCACATTTGTTTAGTCCACCTTTCCCCTCCATATCCTGGCCATGCAGCCCCGCCTTCCTATAGAAACCCTCCCCAGCGACCTGAGAGTTTCCTTTTCCGAGCAGCTGTCAGGGATGAAGCAAACAAAGGTAGGTTATATAGCTCAGAAATTAGCTATTTTTGCTACGTTGTATTAACATCTTCATTACTTTGGTTTTGCCCTTTCTGTTACTTCAGGTCATTATCATCAAAACTACTTTTAGAGTTCCATTTGTAGACACATGGCATTAAATAATTCGTGAATAAGCAATTTTTTATTTAGAGCTGCCAAATACTCTTTTGACATACTTGTGGAAATGTGGGAATTTGTTCTTCCTGGTCTGTGCTTACATCTAAAAAGATACCAAGAAAATGTCACAAAAGCCTTAACTGATGAAGACAGCTTGATAAATTTGGCATTGCACAGTAGCACATAAGAAAATTGTGATTTCTGTAGAAAGACTGAACTGTTTCAACATACTCCATCTGGCAAAACTTCATCTTCCTTTGTGAATGCTTTTTATCCAACAGAAAGAACAGAATCTAAACAGAAAGGTGTTAAAGAACACCTCATTTAGATTAGTAGATCATTAGTTTGATTAATAATCAAAAGAGAGAAGCAGATTTGTGAAAAAGAATGCACTCTACCCATTCTGGTACGTTATGTGTGCATGTATACTACAGCGGTGAAGGACAATCATCCAAACTGTGTTTAGTGATGTTCTCTACTTCATACTGCTTTTCTAGCTGTTACTTCATCTTCTACCCGTGCCTTGTCTCCTGCTAATGATTCTGCAGACCCTAGAGTAAGACAAAACTCCAAACAGCGAGAGGAGGAGCTGGAGCTAATAGAGCAGCTACGCAAGGTAAGTGCTGCCAGGAGCCAGTATGTGGGCATCTCAGGAAATTCATTGTGTGCACTCTGCTAAATCTGTCCGTGTGTTTTGCACCAAGTTCACTGAAGAGTGAACCTGTATGGTGCACAGCTGACCAAAAATAAATGGCCTTGTACAGTCTAAGTGATTCTTTCAGAGGACTGCAGTGGTATTTGCTTTGGTTTTTGTGGTGGATAAAGGCAGCTTCCTATTCTGTAAAATAAACTGTGCTGACTCCTGCTTCTGAGTGTCCAGTGACCTCTGCTTTTTAAAATAAATGTGTGCTGCTTTCTTCTTTATCAGCCTTCACACTTGTAAGAAACTCCCATGGAAGTTGTCTCACTGCCTTCGTTTTAATCTCTTGTTTAAAGCTCCTCTTTGCTGTAAAGCCCACAGAAAAGCAGATGGAGTGCAGAGACTACTGCCAGTCATGCTGGCAACGTAGTTTCCTTGTGTGCTCTGGATCCATCTATTGATTGTTGCTTTATCCTTAGTTAAGTGCATGACATCAGAGGCAAAAATATTCCTTATATTTGTGCTTTTTTCTGTTCAGGGCCACCACACTCCTGGTTTGTGCCTGGGTACAATGACAATACACATGAATATTGAAAATGCCATATGGCATTAAGATACTGCTCTGCTTTGCCCCAGACTTGTTTCTGGAGAGCATGAAGGGATTCCTTGAGGTGCTCTAATTAGTTGTTTGAACTTTCCTAAGAAATAAGAATTCCTACTTGTCAAAGCTGATTTTAAAAGCCATGAGCATCTCAGATGGACAGAGAATTCCTTCTCTTTGTAAATTTTAAAGTAAGGACAGTCTTCTTTCTCGAAAAGGAAAAAGTTATCTTAAGTAAAACAAACAAAACTTGGTGCTGTTTGCAGAGCCTCTCTTCTGTTATCTCAGAATGCTTTGTATATAGTCTGTCTTCTGTTCTGCTTCCCAGGTAAAGTTAAATTCTTTTTTTGATACTCAGTGTAACAACTTAGTGAAATTCATGCAGTGTTTGAAATAAGATTGAAAGCCTGAACTGAATTTTTATTCATTTCCTTACACAAATGCTAACTACCTCATGTTTTTGAAACTATTTATGCCAAGTAGTTCAGGTTTTTCTTTACAGGCAAAAATGTTATCTTGACTTTTAACAAAATTTAACAAAACTGTGTTGTCCTCCAACACACAATTATTTTCACTTCCCTTGGCTGAACCGTTCTCTGAGAGTATGTAGGATTAAGAATACTGATCCTAGACCCTTATTTCCATTACTTCTGAATAATGGTTGTATTAGTTCCCTGTTTTCATTAGTACAATGAAAACTGTTCATCGTTGAGCTCAGCTGCTCTCAGATTGTAGTCAGCTCCAGGCCACAGTAGTGCACAGAGCTTTCCTTGACGTTATTCAGAAAGCTGCTTGGAAATGTCCTGAAGATGGACAGAGAGTTGTAATGCAAGCATTCTACCTCTTAAAAAATGCTCTGCAGAATGAAACAGTTGGAGGAAACCAGCTCTTACTTTTTGTGTGTCAATGTTCATTTTTCTACAGAATATAGAATCACGGTTGAAAGTGTCGTTGCCCAGTGACCTTGGAGCAGCTCTCACCGATGGTGTTGTTCTGTGCCATTTAGCTAATCATGTGCGTCCCCGATCTGTTCCCAGCATTCATGTTCCCTCACCTGCTGTTGTAAGTATGTAATAGTGATAGTATTTTACAACTGTCCAAAATAACATCCAACGAAGTTCTGTAATCCAGACAAATGCTAAATATAGCATTCTCCTCTGTGAACATACATGACAAAAAATAACCATGTGTTCTGTCTAAAAAAGGTCTATAGCGTCAGTAAAAGAACTTACGTTTGGCTTTGTTTCATTTAAATTGTTACTTCTAACACAGATTGTAAGAAAATGTTAACATTTTCAAGTCCTCCCTATGCTAACTTGAAAATTAGTGAAATAAGAGACAGTTCAGCATGAAAACTAAAATAGGATATTTCAAAAGACCAAAAGGTCCAAGAAGTTCAGGAAAACAGATAGTAGAGAAATACAACATTCTTTACAGTGTTTAGGATCCCACTGCACAAGGCAGTGAAAACAGGCAGAGAAGCCAAGCTGATTCCTGTGTCCACTTCACATCACTACAAATTCCTCTGCTTGGGAATTTTAGCAGAGCACACTCAAGCTACTTGGAGAACAGCATCTCCTGGAACAAAACAAATCCAGTTTTTTGGATATCACACCTTTTGGATATCACACCTTTGTGATAACAGGAAAAAATGTTGTATCTGGGGTCTGTTCAGAGCAAGGAAGGAAGCACACAGAGAAGTTTGAAAATTTCTGAAGCTGCTTCTCTTACCCTGCCTAACTGCAGTGTTCCTGGAATGCAGTGAAGGTGATCTACATCTGGGTGCATTACTGTGTATCATGTAGGGAAAGCACCGAATTAGAGAAAGGTCAAGAACTGAGAAATAATGACAGATTATTTACCTAATCTGTATTTGGGAAAATACTTAAGGTCAGCTACTTAAAAATAGCATGGACAGCCAGATCACTTGTTATGCACCTTTCAATTCTATGAATACAGGGGAAAAACTGAAGATTGTTCCTGGGGAGAGAAGTTGAAACATGCATGTTGTATTTGCTTTTCCTTATTTTGGAGTCAGGCCTTGTGTTGGCTGGAATTTGAACTGGCACTTACAGGGCTGCCTCCTGTATCATTGTGGTTCCTTTCCTTTGGACTTAATGTTAACAAGCAGATGTCCTCACTATTTTGAGAACCATTGAACTGGGCACGCCAATGTTTTAGGCAGATTGTGGAATCATTAAGAGAAAAGACATACAGCCGCTATTCAGAAGACTTGCGTCATTGAGAATATCTTTTCAATGGCCTGGTTTTATGTGCTGTTGAATATTCTGCATTAGGAATTAAATCATGGCTTTGTCATACAAAACCCAGGGAAGAGGCAGCCTTTAGCTGCACAGCTCCAGGAGCGGAAGCAACATCATGTCATTCGTCAGTCACAATGTGATCTTTGTATTTCCTTCATCCTTCGGGAGAAAGATGCCAGCACTAGCCTTTACCCTGCTTCCTTGGCGGGGAAATACGGCACATTGAGGGGACAGAGCAGAAACTTCATCACTTAAGGAAAAGTATTGAGTCCACAGAGCACACTGCCTGCTGCTACATAGACTGTGTGTGGGTAGCTTGTTAAAAGGAGCAGGAAGCTTGTGTCTCTTTAACAAGAAAAGAATAAGCTTCAAGAATAGACACAGGACAGAGCCTGTGCCATGGTATGTCTGTGTGGAGGTGTGAAAGCTAACTAGATAAAAGCTTGCTTGAAAAAATGCTAGTGAGTGCAGTTCGAACAGCTACATCAAACACAAGAGGCTTGCAAGCAGCAAGCTTCAGTTCCAGTTTTCTTCCAGTACTTTATGGTTTCATCTAGCCTTCATGTTTTTTTACCTCTTTGTTAATTGAAATATGGTTTGATTGTTTTTTGGTTGGTTTGTTTTTTGGTTGGTTTGGTTTTTTTTTTTTGTAGTAATCCAGAACAGACTCCAGATTGCTTCATATCATGAAATTGCTCTGAAATCACAGCATGGAAGCCATGCGTGTGTGTTTCATTCAAAACATACTTTTAAAATTATCATACTATAATCACTAAAAGTGTTAGTCAGTTTTATATAACACCTTGTATATAAATATTGCACAACTTAAAATTATCGTCTTTAAAAAACATCCGGCATTCATAAATTAGCTTTTCATAAAACAGCTTTGAAATTTGGGCTTGCTTTTCTAAAGAAAAGCAAACGTCAACTGAGCCTGCTTTGAATTAGACAAGCTTATGTCAGAGTGCAGTATGCTTTTGGCAAAGAGATTTATTAGCAGTTCTATTTAAATAAAAAATAAAGCTCTTTTAAAATCCTGCCAATTAAGAGCACTGTATGCCTGCCTCCTTTACTTCTTTGCAGCCTAAACTTACAATGGCAAAATGCAGACGAAACGTGGAGAATTTCTTGGAAGCTTGCAGAAGGATTGGAGTGCCTCAGGTACGTATTTCTGCTATCCTGATAGGATGTTTCAGGTGCAGATTTGTGTGATGCTTCAGAAAATAAAACCTTTGAAAGATTGGATGAGAACAAAATGATTAAATGTTTAGAAGGTTCAGATATAAGCTATGTCTTGCAGTGTAGATCAGACTTATCTTGTGTTGTCTTCCAGAGCAAAATGAAGTCAGATACAGTTTATCAGAGGTCTGACTCACTTACTGCTGTGCCTCACATTCATAATAGCTGATGCAGTTCAAGCCTGCCTCTAGAATTGCAAGGTGTTTCTCTAAAATAATTACATGTTTTCAGGATTAGATATTTGACAGCTTAAAAGTGGGATAAAATTTTGATGATGTTTTGCATGTGTTACTTTTATCCCAAAGCTTTTCATGTTCCTTCAGAATAATTCCCCTACATAAACGTCTTTACTGTCTTGCCAACAAGTTGCAGTATTCCTGGCCTTTCTCTGATGGTAGCTATCTTTGCATAGATCCTAGTTCTTTTGTTATGCACCAGTGATAGAAGTCTGTCTTCTGGTATTCCTTGTCCCCTTCTGAAAAGTGGAAGATCTAGGAGATGGGAACATATAGAATAGTCCATCTGAGTCCAGTTATTCTGTTTCATGCTGTCCTGTCCTTTCCACTTTGTCTTATTCATCATCTCTCTCAATACAAATAGTATTGATACATCATGTTTTTTTTAATTTTTCTTCTAGTGAATTAACTGATTTGGTTTCTTAAACTGCTAAGCATTAGTGTTTCTGTTGTAGATGCTGTTTTCTTTCTTTTGTATTGTGAAAGGGAAAAGTAAACCCAGTGACTCATTTCCCAGCTATTTCCAAAAGCAGTGTTCTTGAGTCAGTCATGCAGTATTTTCTGGTGTTTTCAGAGAGCTTCACTTGCAGGCATTTGAGCCACTGGGATTTTATGATAGGATATTTATTGAGCTGCCTGGCAATTCCACATGACTCAGTGGTGAATCGCGTTGGAACATGGAAAGGGAGTTGCAAGTGATCATCAGTACTTTAAGATCCCATACTATTTTGGTCCCCTGAGAAACTTCAGACTTCCACTCCCAGGAGAACTGCACAATATAAATTTGTCTGGGGCAAAATGTTCAATTCCATCCCAGATGTAATTTTTATGGGATTGCAGTACAGAGTAGATCACTGAAATGACCCACATGTAAAAACAAACAAACAAGCCACACAGGTATCCTGTATAAGACTCAGTCTGCCCCATCTGCTACATGTCCTGTCTAGGACCCTCCTGTGTTTCTCATATTTCTTGCTTTAATGTGAAAGAGCTCAAGGAGAGTGTCTCTGGGGAAACTTACTGAAATGCTCCCACCTGAACTCTGAAATTGCTCTCACGTGTCTAAATTACATATCTACTGAGATGTGAAGTTAAGATACCTGTATGCAAGAATGGCGTGACAGCCTAGTATATTTTTCTTGAAAAGATGCCTGCAGGTATTTCCTTTCATTTAAATTCTAATTACAAAAACAAAAGGCTTTCTGAAAGTACGGATCTATGTAGAAATACTTACCTTCTAAGAGGAAGGCTACTTTTTGAAAATGCTAATTACAGGCACCCCAGCAGAACAGCTATTTCTATAGGACTTTGCTAGTTAAAGCTCTTGCATCAAAAGAAACCGACAGTGGAACAGATTGATACGTGCATCTAGATTTCACTGATTTACAGCAGTTACCTGTGTGAAAGGGAGGGAAAAGATACACAGTGGGAATAGTTACAGACCACTTAAATTCTAATTAGTCATAGATATTTCTGCAGGATACTGCATTCAGGTGTCAGTTATACACAAATAATCCCTTGTCCTGCTGTTTTCATTAACCAAGATACATGTGGAGATATAGCTTTGGTGAGTACTCAGTGCCAGCAGCATCTCAGAAACCTGTAGCCTCTTCATTTCGCCTGGAGAAAAATGGTCTTCACTAAGGCATCTGTAAACTGCTGTGTTTTTAACAGCAAAGAATAGTTACATGCTTGAGGCGTACAGGTGACAGGCACCTCACTGAACACTAAATATTTGCATTACGTGAGTTCTTTGCAATGGGAGTCCTGCAGATTCCTTTGTGAGAATTAACCATCTGTGATAACGCTGGAAGATGTAGGTTATATCTGAGATGTCTGACTGCTTCGTGGATGTTGCTATGGCTAACTGACTGACCTTTTTTTTCTGTCTGTTTTCCCTTCCTGCTCACACACTCTGGACAGGACAATCTTTGTTCCCCTTCTGACATTCTTCAGCTAAACCTCAGCGTTAAAAGAACAGTTGAGACTCTTCTTTCCCTGGGGACAGATTCGGAAGAACCCAGTCTTGTCTCCCTTTCCATTCAGCTCTGGGGCTTTGTGGTGTTTTACTGTACTCTAATGCTAACGCTCTGTATGTTCTATCGCTGGGTTTTTTTTCTCTAGCTGAAGCGTAGTGTTGCTGCTTCCTCCCTCCATCACTCCAGTGCTTGGGAAAGGATTTTGGGTTTTGTCAAGACTGTGTGTATGAAGTGCTTTCATTCCCACTGATGGGACAGAGGTGACAAGTACGATGTGTAAACACATTGGTGCACCTACACGACCATCTGTGACATAATTCACATTTGTATTTGCTGTGTCATGTTTAGCAGATAAAATGTTTTTACAAGGGAGGACATGTTGTCTGTGGGCTCGAGCAAGGGACTGAGGTTAGGGTACATGCTATAGTCTGCTGATGAGTGGTGTAGTACTGGGAAAACTCCAGTGTCAGTTTGTGCCTCAGTTTCCCCATCTGTATAATGGGAATTGCACCCACTTTAGCAAATTGCTTCAGAATTATCTGATGAAAAATGTTAAAGAATGCAAAGTTGGGTTTTTTTTCAACATCAGTGTTCTTGATTAGATCTCACAGTCTTAGGAGACATGGTCTGGTAAGTTTTGTCCACAGGATTTTGTAACTGATACCTTTTTTTGTTAACCCCTGTCCCTTATCCTGCTGCTGAGAGAATTTCATTTATCATATCTGTAGACTCTAGTGTATTACTTCAAGTCAGGATCTTTAAAATAACTCTCAGTGAATCCTGAACTACTTGAGCTTCGTAACAGATCAAGCAGGAAATGTTCAGAAAATTGAGCTCTTCAGCAGCTTTGAGAGAAGTATTTTCTGGCACAGAAGGGAAAAAATCTTTAAGATTCTATCAGATGCCACAGAATGTCACAGCATTCTACTGTGCTCTGATAAGTAGCAACTCAAGAAGTTTTTGTTGATTGTGGGCACCCAAACCAGTGCTTGTTTCATGCCTGTTCCCTTCTTCCTCTTATCCTCTCATTTTCAGAAACCTTTGTATCATACAATTGTAGAAATAAAAGCCCCAGACGTATGATCACTCTTCACTGTTTTACAAAACTCAGGTAGTCTTCCGTAAAGCTTCAAAGCTTTTCCCTCCCCAGGAAAAGCATCCTGGTGCTTTAATGCTTTAATGTCTCAGGGACACCGCAGAACTTCAGGGCACTCCCCATGTGATGTGCAAAAAAGACCATGTCTCCTCAGAGTGTAGATTGGTTCAGGGAATTCTGCTCAGAGACCAGTGACAGGTAAGTGTGAAGTAAAATGGCTGTTCCAAATGTGTTTTCAATAAATTTCTGTTACATCTGAAAATACAGTAAAAGGCTTGTAAGCCCAGTTTAAGTGGTGTTAGCATTCCAACGTTAACCTGGCAACAACTCTGAAGTGCAGTTTAAGATACACACAACTTCAGCTGCAGATGTGGTCGCTACCAGTAAAAATGTGTTATGTATACATGGATTTCACAAGCTCTTGTAACACAGAGTCAGTATTTAACAAAGGAGCAAGTAGAAGCGTTGGTGCCCTCTTTCCAAATCACACAAAGTGTTCTGTCCAAGCAAAACATTGTTGAGGAAAGAGGGGACCTTTGACAGAGGGAGATTGTTTTATTTTTAAATAAGCTATTTTTGCACTGCTTACTGGTATGAACTAAAATGAACTCGGTTCCTGTGTTTCTTAACTTCTTCTAATGAACACTGTGATAAAAGCTGCAAGGGGTTTTACACTAACAGTGCCTTCCAGTTTTTAAATTTTGTCGTCATAACTGTCTGTGGTATGGAGTCATTCCAAAGCTTTTCCCCTTATCTATTTGCACACATAAGAAAAAAAGATAAGGCATATTTGCTCAAGTTTACAGGTATTTTCTCAAAAAGCACACTTTTTTCAAGATAACATAAATTTGCTGGAAGAAAAATATTTCAGCCAGATCATATGGCTTACTGTGAGAATTTCAGTCTGGGTTCATTTGTTTTCACTCTGGGTTCATTTGGGGAAGAGTGTTGGCTGACACTGTTTATGCTGAAGACTTCTTTAACATCAAAAATCAGTAAAGAATCAAAGAGTGGAGAAATGCAGGTTGCTGTGGAATAACACATGAAATATAATCTCTAGCTCTGTAGGAAGGACACACTTTGGTTATTTTCTATAGATAGAGAACTGTGGGACATGTATCCTGACTGATGTGGAGTGAGGATGGCCAGGATGTGCCCAAGACTTATGTAGGATGAGGCTTTAAATCCATTTTAGACTGAGAATAGCACAATTAATAATAAACACTTTGAAAACTCTTTTTGCATTTTGCGTATTACTCTTCTTCCTTAGATTGATTTTTGGAGGTAACCTGCTAAGTGGGTGTACTTCTGGAAGGTAAATAAGTGGTAGTGACTCACACATAACATAGGGTGGATATTTGCCTATAAATATACTGTTGATTTCTCATTGCCTTGAACAGGAGAAATGGCATTTTCTACATTTATGATCAAAGTTATTTCAGTCTTTCATAGACACAAGTTTTTTGTTGTTTTATGGGAGAAAAAAAAAACCAACCTTGTGCTTTTTGCTTTTTCATGCCTTCCAAAGAATTTTTGTAACGTCAGAGATCAGCACGTACGTAGAGCCAGAAGGACTTCATATGGGCAGTGTGTCTCATGAGATGAGAATTGCTTTAAGTATGACATTCCCCTTTGGACTTGTTGCACGGTGTTTCCATAGCACACGCTCGTATTTCATCCTCTCCTTTAACGCAGGTCTTTCCTCATGTTTGATAGCAAAACAAACTCGCTACATGAGGACTCCATCAAAAAGGCAGTTGTGCGTTGGAAAGGAAGCCATGGTTGCTTTCCTACTCTGTATTGTAGGAGGTTCATCACGTTGAAGCAAAGCTTTCCCCCTCCTTAATTTCATCGACTTCTGGTTTCATAAACTGCTGCCATTTCAGTGTGGGCAGAGAGAGAGAACAATTTGCTATTCCCCACTTCTCCCGCATTCCTTTTTCAAATTCTTATGTGTACAATTTTCTAATAAACAAACAGGATTGCCCCAAGGCCTTCTCCTTTGAGTAGTCATGTTCACGGTTCTTTAGTCGCAAGCAGAAGTTTCATTTCATACCTGTGTGTGTGCTAGCTGTCCGTAACATTTCATATTTCAGTCACCTTTTGCTTAATTTTTTTTTCTTTTCAGTTGAGTGTTTTTCATCCATTTTGTTTTTGTCTTTGTTTTGTTCCCCATTCAGGAGCAATTATGTTTGCCTCTACATATTTTAGAAGAGAAGGGTTTGACACAGGTAGCTGTGACTGTCCAGGCGCTCCTGGAGCTGGCACCCCCAAAGCAGCAGCAACTTCACCACTTGTCTGCTGTGTAAAGACCTCCGGGACCTTTTGGGTTACCTTGGCTAAGCAGAAGGACGTGAAGACTTTACTGCCCATGCAGTGCATCCAAACACACAGAGCTCTGTTCTAAGGAAAGGAGTTTCCGTGATTCCTGACAGGAATGTTTTACTTCATTTCTCCATTTTTTTGGAGATCACAACAGTTTCCAGCAACATTTTTATTACCAATATTTTTGCCCCTTATTTAAAAAAAAAAAAAAAGTTCATTGGGAAGAGGGCAGGGAATTCCAGTGGCTGGCTGTTGGAGCCAGCTGTAGAAACTGACCTTGTAGACTGAAGACATACATGGGTGTAGAGTTTGGAAAGTGATTCCTAGAGGAATTAATTTGTAAAAAAAAAAGGATGTTGCTGCAGTGGGCACAAGGGGAATGGAATTTCTTTCCTTCCCCACAGGGTTCAAAGAAAGAGAATTTCTTTCCCTCCAGAGAACAACAGCTATTTCTATTATGTATTTTAAAAATTGCAACACACAATCTTAACCTGCAGTGTTTGATAGCAGGGTTGAACCTCATGCAGCTGTAATTTGCATTTGCATGTTCCCATTACTTAAAGAGAAAAAAAAAAAAAGGATTAATTTTTTTTCCCTAAGAGAAAAAATACTGCATGCTTTCTCCACAAGAAACATCTCAGTAAAAGATACTAAACCAGAACTGTTCAAACTGTATTAATCACATTAGCATTCTTGCTGGGTTCACTTATATTTAAGTTTCAGCATGTCTTTATCTGAGTATTTTCCAACATCAGTTAAGGGAGATCTTCTGCGTATTCTCAGCTTCCCTTCTGGTCACGTAGGGATGCATTTGGTTACTCAGTGGTTTTGGCAAATGACCAGATGTCATCGAGAACCACATATGTATTTTCACTGCAGTGTGGGGAAGTACAGCCTGCCATGCTAATCATTAGAAGCTCGTTATCAAGTAGTATGTTTATTAGGGGCTGAAGCATCCCATGCAGACACTGGTGAGTGTCACAGCTGCTGAGAAATTCATCATTTTAAGAACAGTTACTGAATTTCCACAGGTGAGCTGCACATTGCCAAAGCAGTTATCTGTTGCAAAAGGCAGCTTCTATTTGTGTGTTTAACAAGGCTTGAATAAAGAAAGCCTTTTATCATTAGAATTAATGTAGAGCTGCACGGGTTTTACCGAACTACCCGTACACCCTTCCTCTTTCCTTAACATAAAAATGGAAATCCAGTGTACAGTAATGGGAGAGGCAGCCGATGAGTTTTCCATTTTGCTGGAAAGTTGACCTACAAAACAAAGACTGGTCTGTGCTCTGGTCCTAGTGATGAGGCCAAGCTCACTACCAGATCAGTTACAATTTTTTTTTTTTTTAACCAATTTAAAGCATCCCAGAACATTATATATTAGTCCCAGAATGCTACTGATACATGGTGCACGGGGTCTGAGACCAACTTCAGGCATCGGATCTATTGCATCTGGGGATGTATTTGAATCAGAATACACAAAGAGGATTTCAGGGGGATAAGAAGAAATGAGAACAGGCTAGCTGGCAGTAAGCTTTGCTGAAGTAAACATGCCGTGGGAACACAGGCAAGGACTGGTCTTACCAGGATTTTTTTTGCCTTTTGATTTGCAGTTTTGTTTTCACTCTGGTTTGCTTCATTTGTTGTCTTCAAGGTCCATTGTGGTGACTGTTGAATCCCTCATTTCACATAATTATTCCAGTTGCTTCTTATTGGCATTGGCTGATCCCATTGCAAGTGGAGAACACCACCTGAAGGGTATTTAAAACTGCACAGCTGCAAAGAGAAACCTTTTCATGCTGGGTAAGCATGTTGCCCTGAGCCCTGCGAGAAATGAAAATGCCAATAATTTGCAATACACATAGGAAGGGAGCAGCTCCATACAGACATACTTTCTTCCTTAGGTAGGTCTTGTGTTTCACTTAATTTTGCTTGCAAGGAGTGTTGGTAATTCTTAAAGGATTACATAAAAGTGTCTGAGGTCTCTGCTGTAGTTTGCTGAGTGGAAGATTCGGCCACTTGCAGCCAACAGTATAGACCACAACTGTTACTTGTGTGTTTGTCTCTGCACATAATATGAAAGAGGGGGGCACTGACTTTATCTTAGTTTCCAACATTAGGTCACTTGTATTGTTACAGGGGAATGTTAACTTTTTAATAGCACACCCTTTGTGGGCTGTTTAAATTTTCCCATTTTAAGACAACCATTCCCTTCATGGAATTGTGAGGGTGTGGTGTTTGCTCCAGTCCAGCTTCCAGCACTTAAGGAAAATAAAACCTAACAGTATTCAGGTTGGTGGAAGTTTGGCATTTGATTATTACTAGTTCTTAGGAATTAATGGGGTGGGGAGTTGAGCCTGAACTGCCAGAAATGGCCATTTCCTATCGTGTCTGGTCAACACAGCTACTCTTCCTACGAGCGGTGACTGCACGGCTGGGCAGGTGCTGTGTCCCCACTGTCACTTACTTTGTTCTGAGCAACAGTTCACTCTAATGGCAGTTTTAGTGTATGTGGTCATGTAAGTTGGATGTTTATAATCCTGTGTTTTCATGCTGGCAGACACTAAATCTTGACCAGGTGTTTAGGACAAATATCCAAATCTGAAGTTTCATCATACGGTTTATTTAATGTATTGTACCAAAACCAACTTCAGTTCTGTTTTGCAAAATGGGTTGGGATTTTTCGGTGTATTTATGTGCAATTTTTGTTGTATCCCGTGAAAAGAATATTTTAAAGAAATGTGTATAAAATTCTATTTTGTGTGTTAAAGCAAAGAGGCAATTGCCTTTCCTCTCGGGGGCATTTGTGTTGGAGGACGTGGGAGAAATCCATCCGAGCGTTCCGTGCGTACTGGTGTTTATACACCAATTCCATCGTGTCACCATCCTTCCTCAACCCGCGCCCAGCAGCGTTGGGGCTCAGCAAGGTTACACACGTGAGGTGAAGCGGGACAGGCACTCGGGAGTCCCTGATGGCATCCCAGTGGTCAGGGCAAAACAGCTGGGGTTTGGGGCTTCCCCCTTTCTGAAAGGGGAGGCTTTTGTGAAGGCCCCCCACCTCAGCACCCTGCTCAAAATAAATCAGAACTTTTAACAGCGCCAAGAATACCTCTGTTGTTCTTGGTAGTGACATGATGGCAAATGGTATTTTTACCCTTTTCTAACTATAAGTTCTTTGAAAACAAATGTTTTAGAAACAGAGGACTTCTAAGGTGAATTTGAACAGCTAAAAAGTTCTTTTGTATAGATATTGTGATGTTTTACAAAGCGATCTAATTTTGTTATTTCTGAAAACAGTGTAAACGTGTAATTAATAGAGTAAAGGATTTTAAAGCTTCATCCCATGCTGTATGTCTGTAAATACATTCCATAATTTCTAAGTCTGTTACATATAAATGTGTCTGAATATTGTATACTTTATTTTAAATTGCCTGTATTCTGCCAGTAGTGTGAACTTCTAGCACATTGATAATATAAAAGGAAACCATGGGTAATTTGAAATAAAGTTTTAAAACTCACATGAATTATGGTATTCTTCCTGCGGCTTCTCTGTTGCATGAATGAATGTCACATCTTCTGTGTCGGGGTTTATTCCCCCTCCCCATTGTCACACTTGGCAGTTAATGGACCCCATTTGTTTCCCTAGTTTTCGTAGTTAACCAAGATCAAAAAACTCCAGCGTTTTACAGACGTTCTACAGCCACATCAGAAGCTTTTTCTTGGAGATATTTTTAACCTTCCCCAGACACTGAGAAGCAGCAATTTTGTACAGAATCCTTTGCTCCTCCCTCCCCACCCCCTTATATATTTTTTTTTCTCTTTTCAAAGTAAAATTGTACACTAGGTTTGGGCAGTTTGCTGGTACCGGTACCCCTTGCTGTTCTCATCTTTTGCTTGGTTTTGTCCTGTCTGGCACCCTTGCTTCATGCCCCAACAGCATTTGAAAGGTTTGTTCTTACTAACAGAAATGTTTACTCCTCTTTTCCCTCGCACACGCTGTGTACCCCTGTGGTGCTGTTCCCTGCTCCCCACACTGTCCTTTTGAACCCCCTGGGGACTCCATCAGTCACTTGGGACAGCTCCGTTCCTGCCTTTCTGGGGGCTGCCCAGCTCCCTCTGGGTGTTCCTTTCTCCCCCAGTGCTAAATCCTCCTCCTAACCAGCTCCTCCTCAGTCTCCAGCCTTTCTTTTCTGTTTATCTCCCTGGAAATCAGTTTCTCCAAAAGGCTCATGATTTCTGGTCTTCCCTGCAGAAAATATCGTGGATGTTCACTGTGATCCCATCTCTGCACAGCTGCAGATAAAGAGCAGCACTAGCCCTGGCACAGTCCTCCAAACTGCTGGTTTTTCGGTTCCCTGCTCCCATCATGAAGTCCGCAGCAGTTGTGACCGTGGCAAGGAGAGCAGCACCTCTGGGCCAGGCTGGTGCCACGGAGGAGGCCAGGGGGGCTAGACGGGTGGACAGCAGCGGGGCCACAGTCCCCAGGCCAGGACCTGCTGCTCTCGGGGTTTGGTCAGGTTAAAAACCTTTGCCCTGTCATGCTATCGCCCCATGGCCAGGACACTCATGTTGGGACTCAGAGTTTTCAGCACTCACCCACCTTCCTGGGCTAGCAAACCCAGTTCTGCTGTTGCTGTATTATTATGTAACTTTTGAAAGAAAAAGTACCTTTTCCCCTATACACACAGACACAGAGCTTCCTAATTTTGGAAGCAGACTGTTGTGCCCATGCAATTTATGGGTTTGGGTTTGTCTGGGTTTTTTTCTTTTAGATAATAGTCACCAAAATGGAAGTTTTGAATTATTTCATGATCCAGTGTAGTGTGTTACCGTGGCTCCAGGGCCTTAGTGTAACGTAAAAACAAGTGTTGTTACGCTGGCATTAGGAGCTGGGACTTGAAGGGGAGCCAGCCTTGGCAGAATCGCTGGATGTGGAGGATTTCTCAGAATTACGCTGTATTTTGTTCTCCGCTGCAAATAAAGCAAGGCCGAGGCAATGCCATGTTTCAGATTTCCACTGTTTGGTTGTATTACTGATGTGTGCTACAGTTTGATGCAAACTGTAAAGATCTTCTGCCCCTCTGTTCTATCCGACTTTTTCCTTAGCTCAAAACCTCTGAAGAGTTTATGATCAAACTTCATTCCCTTCACCTGAACAGGTCACCTGTTAACACCCACCACCTACGGAAAATGCTAATCTGCTAAACTAAGTCAGCAGTGCACAACAAAGAAGAGTGAGAATTAGGAATGTGGCTCCCGTGGTCGCTCTGCAGTACCTCCTGCAGCAAGGATCTGCGGCACAGACGTGGGGTGACACAGCCCTGGCTCAGCCCCCGCCCCTGCCAGCATCTGCCACAGCGATCCCTGCCCCTACCACTGCCTGGGGACTGGGAAAGCAAGGGAATGTGGTCATGGCCTCGGTACCAGCGCTGCCACGGGGATGCGTTCCAGTTTCAGGTAAGCAGCAGCGCTCAGGTGTAGTACCAATACTTCTAACCCAGGTTTCTCGGGAGTGTCTGAAACTTCAGCACTCGCCTGACAGTCAGTTGGCTCTGCCTGGTGACCAGGCAGCAGCCCCTCTCCTCCCGCCCAGAGTTGTGAGCCAAAGGCTCTCTGCCCGTGATTTCAATCATCTCACTTGAACTTCAGAGCTTTTGGCACAGTTCAGCTCGGACACGAGGACGTTTGGATGAGGCCAGCACGGGCTGGTCGCAAAGAGCACAGCAGACTAACCATGGCTTGAGCTCGCTCTCCTGCGTGGGAGCGTCAGAAAACAGCTCAACCGCAGGGCTGATTCCGCTTTGTGCACAGACCTGCATGTGACTGGCGGTGGTGTCAGCAGACGGGGCTCCCCTCTTGGTTAGAAAGCAGCACGCTGCCCCGCAGCACTTCGCTCCCCGCCTACCGCAGAGACGCTGCCCGGGGCGGCGGGTACGGCTGTGCCAGAGCCGCTCCTGCAGGCAGCGCGGCCGGCTGCCGTGTTCCTTGTTCCTTCCCTCGGTCGGGAGGTGTTTGGAGCTGTTCTGTCTGTGCGCTGACATTTTGCAGGACTCGGGGAATGGAAAGCTGCGTGCTTTGCCTGCCCTTGTGTTTACACTGCAAACTGTCGGCAGTTTTCCCCCTCCCAGCCCAGGCCGGCGCAGGCAGCCGGGGGAGCGCGGCCCCTGCCCGGCGGTGCCGCCGGGGCCTCCCGCCTTCACACCCGCGCTCCAGCCCAGCCCCTGCTCTGCCGCCTGCAGAGGAGGTTCTCGGGGTAGAGCGCCCCAGGCGGGTGAGTGACGGGGCTGTTGCCAGGATTGCCTCCTGCTAGCTGTCATGTTCCCATGAAGCACTTGGAGGGATACAGCGCTTCTCACAGCTTTGATGCCAGTTCCCTTTTTGGTGGAGAAAATGTGTCTCTGCTGTTCAAGAGCAGCTTCAAGATCTTAAGAGTTACTGCAGCTTCACCTTACCTGTGTCTGTCATGAGCTCTGTTTTCCAGCATAGTCCGAGCTCTGTTAGATGGTATATTTTGTCCTGACAGACAGGCAGACAGCACCGCCCTGCCCAGCAACAGCCCTGGAGCACATCTGTGGCCACTTTCTTTACTTAGCGCATCTTTTTCTTTGCTCCAGATTTATCCTTGTTCCCTTTTTCTTTCTGCTTTGATAGCTGTTTCTCCCGAATCTTCTTGAGAGCCTGGTAGGGGCCAAGGTTTCTGCGGACCATTGTGCCTTTCCACCAGGCCTGCAGCTAGAGGCAAGAGAGAGGTCTCAGGGGCAATCACTTGCTGTGGTACCTGGTACAGCTCCATGGCCATAGTCTCCTGCGCTCCTCAGCTGCAGGAGGGAAGCCTGGCCCACACAGCGCAGTTGGGCCTGTGCTGGTTATGCTGAAGGCATCTGGGCCAAGGGCAGCTGGTGGTGGTGGCAAGGGCAGGAGCGGGGGAACTGCCCCGTGACCCTCCCTGTATTGCCCAGGCCGAGGGGCTGGTGTGATGGGCACAGCCCCAGATCATTCGAGGAGACCAGCTTCCCCCTTTCCGCTCCCTTCTCAAACCTGCAGCTGGCTCTGTGCCTGCCCCAGGAGAAAGGGACAGGCTTTGTCTGTCCTTTGCTTGTGCCACCCCACACCAGCCAGCTTTCTCAGGACGTTTTCTGACTGGACAAAGACTGTGGCACAAATTATTAACTCCCAACCGCTGATGGAGCAGCACTGCCTCATCTTTGCTCCCCTTTACCTTGAGGATGCTCTTCAGCTCCAGGGCATCCTGCTCGAGTAGTCTTCTTTTAGCCTCTTTTTCTGCCCGGTCACTGATGATGGTTTCCTCAAACATCTGGCACTGCAAGATAGCACAGAGGTGGCAACAGCCACATGAAAAACACATCCCCTAAACTGCAGGGCTAACCTTCAAGGCTCACTCTGCCCAGCAGCTTGGCAGGGCAGGGCAGGGCTCACTGGGATCCTGCTGCAAGGAATCTTCTCCTCTGGCTTCCTGCAGTTCCCATCCCCACTACCTGCTATTCAGAGCACAGTCGGGGCTGCTCCAGCCCGAGGGTCACAGTGGGGATCCCCACTCTGGGCATTAAGGAGCTCCTGGGCAGCCCAAGGGAAGTGTGTAAGCAGGGACCTTCCTCCCCCATGTCCTTTATTTGATCTTTCCCGAATCCAGATGGCAAATGTTGCTCATTACCACTGTCAGTCCTAAGGCACTGAGAGCTGCTGCCAAAATGAAACCTCTCACAGCTTGGGTGTAATTAACCCTCTGATCCTGTGCTGTAAAATGGCTGTCTGATGGCGTCTCAGGCAACAGATGGTGGCAGGAAGGACCTGTGCTCCCCCAGGCAAGGCAGCAGATGATGTACAAACACACTCAGGACACCAAGATGACAGTGTAGAGAGTGAAAAATGAGCCCACAAGCAGGGAAACATCTAACTCAGTCCCATCATCTCAGAGCCAGGGATAGTAAGGAATGATTAATTCCTTCTGGCTTTAAAACACCCCTTTTTCTAGACGCTTCTCTCTGCTCTGCCTGCGTAGTTGTGATCAGAGCTCGGCAGTCAACCAAGAAACCCGTGTGGGACAGGAATGGTTTTAACTGGAACCAGTTCCCTTATGACAGAGCACTGCACAGCTCTGCAGCAAGGGATGAGCTGCCTTTTCCAGTCTCAGCCTATCTTACCCTGATGTTGCTGGAAGGAGCTGATTTGTTGAGACTAAGGCAACAAAGGAAGGTGAGGCACACTAATGGGATGGGACAGCGTCCTGCCCCCTCACAAAGGCTGTCAGTAGCTCTCTGATTTGCTGGTATTTGAAAATAGCTGTAGGGGAAGCATCATCATCCCTTCTTGATGTCACAGGTGGCAAATAGATGATGACTACTCAGTCCCTGCCTTCCCAGGACCACTGCTTATAATCGCACCTTACACCTCAACATTACTGATTTTTTCTTCCATGGTCCTGGTTCTGTATCTGAATGAAGGTAGGAAAAAGCCAGTTTTACATGGGTGAGCACGGAGATGCTGCTGCCTCCTTACCTCCTCA